CATGATAATTTTATCGATATTGAGCTAGAAAAATATAACAAAACAAAACGTTACCATACCGTCAAGCGTGTGTGGAATCACCTTCTGCACTTCATCGATCACCACGACGGCTTTTCCTGAGCAGTGATGCAAGTGTTCCGCAAGTCTGCAGCAGAAAGTCATACATTAAGTGCGTCAGATATCGAAATACTGCTGCAACATATCCCGCTCCGATATCCTACCTCGTCTTGATCTGCGTGTGGTATTCCGTGATGGGGTTCGTGAAATTGTCGCTAAAATCTTCTCCACTGTCGTTATTAACAATAAAATAACTAAGTTCAGCAAGAACCTCCCATACCAATCTAGCTATTCACTCACCGAAAGATCAGCAGCCCTGACGGCACACGTTTCTCACTGTTTGATAGCTTTTTCTTGCGTTTAAACAGCGCTTCAGCGATCAAGTTGGACATCTCCGTCTTGCCCGTGCCCGTCGGCCCCGTAATAGCCAACACCAACGGTGCGCGGTCTTTAGTAGAGCTCCTTCTAACAGAAAATACCATACTACGTCAGAAAAATCCCAACTCTTTGAGCATCCTTGTGCTAACCAACTCACGAGAACTCCCAGGCTTCGATCGCACCCACCACTGCCTCCACGGCTCGCTCTTGGCCTTTTAAGTTCTCTTGTAAATGATGGAGTACCATCTGTGACGGTTTATCCACGAACGTGCACTGATCTACTAGCATAACGTTGACAACAGTGAGCAGCTACACTCCAACCGTAAGGATACATTTTGACCATCACGTACAGCCCAGGCCCGAGTGGTACATCGCTGCCTCCCAGTAGTCCTCCCATCGAATCTCAAACGCTAAGACTCTCGAACACGCGCACAGAGCGAGAAGATACAGCAGCAGTGAGCGCCGCATATCGGAAGCCATCAGCTCTTCTTCGAGACGCAAAAGTTGCAATACAAAATACGAAAGTTGACTTTTCTTCGGTCGTTACAAACAAAAATTTCAACGAAAAATGTTTTTTATTCAAACAATTAACGGTTACGAACGTGGACGTTGAAGTGCGCACTCGAAGATGCCGTGCCCGGACGTCGTCTTCAGCGCTCAGCTCGTGATGGAGGACGCCACAGGCGGCAGAGTGAAGCTGAAGCACTCAAAGCGACATGGACAGTTGATGCTGGACACCGGCTCACAGAGCGTGCAGCTCGTGTACCCGCGGGTCGGCAGGCTCTTCCAGCGCAAGTTCGAGCAGCCTCTCAAGTGCGTCATGGGAAGAAAAATACTACGGATATACTCTAGCAACGGGAAAAGAAACTTCACGTGAGGGTGAATGAACACCATTAAGGAAGAATGAAGCAAGGTTTATGAGCGTCTTGTATTGAAGGTGCCGACTACTGTCGGAAGAAGACACGACAAAGTGTGCCGAGACGCTCCGCACCTTCGGAGGTCTGTATTTCAAGTTTAAAAGGTCTTGATACTGCTGCTAAATACTGTGCTTGGCTGGCAGTGGAGGTCATCGCAGTGGGGGAGTCGATGCTGTCAGCGGGTAGACGTGGCTTGGTCGTCCAGGATGCTGCTGTGATTGCTGGTATGTGTCTTGTACTCGGTTATTAACTTGATCTTGCTGATGATTTTGCGTGGTGTGGTGCAGGAGGTGAAGCTGCATTGCAAGCTATTCGAGAAACGTCTCCCAGATCGATGCAAGCTGAGATTCGTGACTATGAGTTGTCGTCCCAGCTTCAAGACGATACCGACGCTATCATGCGATCGATGTTTACCATGAACTCTTGACCATCGAATTGGTAGTTGAAGGTTGGTATAAGCCGATAAGGATGCATTCTCCATTTACGGAATTGCTTCACGTATATTGGTCACGTGACAGGCTTGACACTAACTACATAAATCAGCAGCATTATCCAATGAGTGGGTCGCTGCCGTACGCGTCGTACATACCAAGAATAAAAACACTCGCGAGCTGCGAGATAATAACGCTAATCAGGCCGTAGCGGTAGGCCCAATACAAGCGCTTGGAAGAGAGGGTATCTAACTCATTAACCCAAGTCGACACGGTGGAAAGTGAGCCCAAGAACCCAACCATGACGCCTCCTTGGCCCCACATCACGAAATCTCTGTATGCGGACGCACTGTCCTGATACACGACGCTGCCAACGATCTCCATAGCGCAGCTCAAACATGATGCAGCCACATTCGGAGCGAAAGTGAAGAACGGGAACCGTTTGCACACTGGATTGCTATTGTACAGCGACAAATACCAGCGCAGCAGCGCACCGAAAGGACCAAAGCAGAGCGCCAGCAGTCTCGAACTCGGGTAGTTGTCAAAGCCACAGAACGCCAAGACCCAGAAAAACGCCGTCAATAACAGTGCTGCCACCACCCAGACCGTGTTATGATGGTGAACCGGGTGCTGTTCGTGCTCCACTTGGGTGATTTCCGCCATCAGCTCGTTGCACGAGTCTCGAGCCACAGCCAACGATTCCTCCGTCGCATGCACTCGTCGTGCAACTAGCGGTCCAAACGTGTGCATTTTGATATCCCGGAAGTGGTTAATATTCCTTTCCAGGTCTAGATTGAGCTGACCGAGGTTAACCGGCGGTTTACGGAAGGGGTACTCTTGAAACGTCAAGTAGTGCACAATACCTTCGGCGGCATGCACGCCCAGTCGAAGGCTCGTGATCGCGGTCGCTACTTGTATACACAGCATCAAGAGAGCATTCAGCCAGTGACCGCGGACGAACATGAGTGCCGCACCGAGATCCCAGCTAGCGAAAGTAGTGCAGCTACCACAGAAACCCGTAGTAACCCCAGTCAGCAGCACTTCATATTGGCCACGTAGTACCGGTTTGATCCTGGTCGCGATTCCCATGACGAAGCAGCCGACCGCATTTGGCAGGAAGAAGCCGAAGCCCAGCAGCTCCAACAGCTCTGTCTGACTCGCGTACATGACGTCGGCGAACTCGGTGAGTAGCACACGTACGCCTACGCCAAGGTACGCACCGATGGCGACACTCATCATAATGGGGATGTATGTGCTTGTACTGCTCGAGGTCTGCTCTGGAGCGACTGCAGTTGAGCCGACACTAGCAGCTTCATCTGTGAGCTGCACTTGGTCTACGGGCACGGCGATGTCCACACCCTCCTCTAACGACGTGCTGCTGGCAGACTCGGACACGGGCGTGGCCAGCGTCGCGTAGTCCTCCGAAATAGTGTGCATTGACCCCACACTTCGAATGGAGCCGATGCTGCGGAGCGACCCAACGCTTCGGAGTGTCGCCATTTTCAGGTCCGTCTAGCAGGCTGGAAAACCAAATGGACGAGGTATAATCCCCATACAAAAACGTAGTCACCCGATGGCCTGGGCTATATCCGCTGGGCAAGTCCATTCGCGCCAGCTTCGCGGGGCTTTCCGAGCCCTGCGACATGCTGCCGTGCACGATTGCTACAGTAGAACTTGTAATGGGTAGACCATCGCCCCAATGGTCCACCGCTGTTTGAGAGCACGTATTTGAGGCGGAGCTCAGTCGCTGCCGCCGTCGAAATGGCATTCATGGTTATCATCCGCTTCGGCTGGCATTCTCCGCTCTTCCGCCCTTAAAGAGCTCAATTGGATGCACATTTTGCACGGCTACTTCAAGGTGGAACAGTACTATATAGTCAAGACGAACATTCTCGATACAAATTTTGGGACAGGCCACAAACAAACACGAGCGTTGCTTTCTTTGGGGACGGGGACTCGAACTTGCGCCGTCAGTTGCTTCATCTGCGCGGAACATGGCGGTCAAGCGATAAATGGCGTCATCAATAAGCTTGATTGGGAGGAAGTCGAAGCTACTTTGCTTTCTGCTAAGCGCGATGGCGCAGATCCTGGATTTGAAGTTTGCGAGCCTCGTTGGAAGACTGGGAGAGATATGTCAAGACGGAGAATCAAGCACTGGTGTCCAGGGCGATGGCATTTGAAGATGGTAGAATCTACGCTGTCGAAGTCCCTTCTGGTGCCCACGATGGATTCTGCCGTTTCCTATAGTTGGCAGTGCTGTCTGCAACTGGTACTGGTGATCTGCACTTGGTGCCGCGTGGATCGAGTTACGTTGAAAGTCTCCGAAAACTCGAGCCCGATTGCAGTTTTGGTCCTGCTCCTGGCATTGGTGCCATTCGTCCCGGTGGCATGACGTGGATCGAATTCCACACATTGAAGGTGGAAGTGGGCGTCTCACGAGGATGGCCGTATTTGAATCGGAAAGCGGATCATTGGAGGCAATTTCCCGGCGTCCAATACATTCTCTGCATTCGTCTATCACCAGCGCTACGGGTTCGTGAGTACACGCTCTACACGGTGGATAATCGAGCAAATCCACTACCGCTCATAGATCCGTCCGCACTCCCCTAGGGTTCTCTCGGCCCAATGTGGTGATCAATTTATTTCCGCTTGTAGAGAGGCTAATTCAGGAAAACCAGTGAAGACATGTTTGTGTCGATGCATTTCGTAATGAACTACATGTACTTGTAATATTCTCACCATCTGGTGGTTGGTTACCTTGGTTTACTAACCAAATGAATTTGTGATACGAACTATGTAATCACTTCTGAACAGTACATTCTGTACCTACGGCGTTAGCTACGCCAGTTCGACACTGTCGAGTCGCGAATCGTAGTGCTGCATTTCTGTTGGAAAGCTAAGGGGGCAGCATAGAATCGTAGTGGGGCCCATAGCTTTCCGACAGAAATGCAGCACTACGATTAAATCGCAATGCAAATTTTGCATTGCGGGCGTGGATCGTATTGATGCCTTGTTTCAGTTGCCATGAACATGTGTACACAGTTTTAGAAAGGAACTTTCAAACTGTGTACATGAACTGGAGTTGGCTTATATTACGCATTTCGCTAACCTACGAAATAAAAAAAAAACTACCTGTGGCCAACGTGGAGTACGAACCGAGCCACCTTACGGCTTCTTATTCGCAGCGTTTGGTTCTGCTCCCGGCTGGCGAAGTTCAGGAGTTTGTGGGGTTTGCAACACGTTGAATCCAGCACGGCGCGGAGACAAACTCATTCCGGGCGTTCGCGCGTACTGTCCCGGGGTCATCCCGGGGTCATCGGGCATGACGAAAAAGTTCGCCCGGTTGCTTCTGTTGCTCGAAAAGGGGTCATATCCAGCACCTGATGTACCGAACATGGCCACACGAGACGGCGGAGGCGGCATGGGTAAGTTCTCGGCCGCAAATACCTCTGCAAGACGATCGTAGTCCACCGAGTGGTGGTTCACAACGCTTCGTCCGAGCGCTAGCGAGCGGCCATCCAAGCACAACTCCGATAGCGAATCGCGGTATCCACTGTTCGGCTGCAAGAAGTATGACGCCGTGCTAAAGTCACTAGTCGTACTGATCTCGTTCGACAGAGCCTCAGCCAATTTCTGGTCCAACAAGGCCATACGAGTTGCGATATTGGCCAGAGCGATAGATGGCTGGATCACCAGCACACCTTGGGCCTTCATCTCCTTACTGAACTTGCAGTCCGGTACCAGTGCGATCATCCGAGGGTGTGACTCTCCCAGCAACGATTTGAGGAGATGCACGTTCTCGCGCGTACGGTTGACGTCACCCGTGAAGATCAACACGTCGGCTGCCGACATGGCCTTCGCGTTGTCACGGTCCTTAAGAGTGTTCTTGAACGAGATAAGGTCTCCATTGGCAGTGCGTTTGAGGATTGTCTCGTTCATCTTTTGCCATTTACTGGCGCGTTCTTCATCCAGCAACGGCACATTTACCTGTGCTCCGTACAGTGAGAGATCCAAAGCAACCTCGAAAGCCACTTCATCATCTCCGATAACCACAGCATTCTGCACCTTGTAGAACGGTAGCAATGATCGTGGATCTTTGCCCATCGTCATTGCAGGACTCGACATGCGTCGACCAGCATCGAACAGACTGACATTACTGAAATTCCCACCATGAATGTTGCTAAGATTGCCGCCATGGATACTGCTGAATCTTCCACTGTGGAGGCTCTTGAGGTTGTTATCGCCATTATCACTTGGCATACTTCCCTCAGCAGCACGGTCTTTCAACGTCTCACCTGCACGACTTAAGCCCATGGCACACAAGACCGGACCAATGATCTGGTTCACCACCACAGCAGCCACGATCGTGGCAGAAAACTCCTCAGCCCAGGATTCCGTACTCATAGCCTTCACTTCGTTTGCCAAGCCCAAGGCCACACCAGCCTGCGGAGTCATCGTGAGCCACAGGTTGTTGTACTGCTTCGGCGTTAACTTGAGTACGAAGCGGCCACCAAAGTAGCAAGCGATGAAGATCGCTACGTAGCGAAGACCCACGTACAAACTCATCAGAGGGATCGCATCCACCACCTGATCCAGCTTCAGTGCCGCTCCAGTCATAACGAAGAACGGTAGGAACATGTACGGCGCGACGGTATCCAGAATAACGTGCATGTCGTGACGGATACCAGTGTGATGTCCAGCAATACACGACGCGATCATAAGAACAAGCAATGGTTCAAGCTTAACTTCCCACGACAAACCGTAGGATGCAGCAGTTTGTAGGGCGAATAGAGTAGTGGAGAGGTAGAACATGTAGCCCATCAAAAGCCAAATGAAACCCTTGACTGCCAACGACATATTGGTAGTCCAGCACGACTTCTTCACCGGACTCTCTTCGTTATAAGCGTTGTGGGGGTGAGGTGCCATGTCCCGATCAACCGAAGTCATCTTGTGACCTGTTCTTCTGGAATGGAACGCCGATACGCTACGTCCCGCGAGTCCATCGTCAATATCGTGACCGTGGTCATCATGTTCTCCTCCAGGGATCTTAAAGATGAGGACCGTCACACCAGCGAGGATAGCACCAACTAGAATGTTGGCCAACACGATACTCATCGTAAACGCCAGGTTCAGAATAGACACATCCAGTTCGGCGCAGTAGATGGAGCATACAATTCGAGAAATCGAGAACGAAACGAGCACGACAAACTCGGCCGTCATGGTCGCTCCTAGCATCAAACTCGTGAATGGACCCACACTGTTCAACTCGATCTTGATGGCCATCACGGTGGCGGGTGAGCCCAGTACAGAGATGGAGCCGAACATTAGAGCAATACCCAATTGGCAATTGAGAACCATGTCCTTGTAGAAGAATGCTTCCTCCGCCAGCAAAATCGCTCCCGTCAAAATGATCATAGCTGTCACGTAGAGCACACCGAGAAGAATCATGATCGATTTAAGTTGTGGACGAAGCTCCGGTAGATAAATCTCTTGACCAGCCTGGAACGAGATGAACGACAGTGCCAATGCACTGACGTAGTTGGACAGCATGTTGACGCTGTCCTCGGTGATAAGGTCAGCGAGGAATGGCCCAGCGATAATACCAATTACCAGATAGCCCGTGATAAGTGGGAGCTTGAAGAGCTTGGGGAAGAAAAGACCGAGCGGGTGAGCAGCGACGAGAACAACCACAAAGGCGAGTCCGTGTTGCAGCGTATCGATAGCGTTGTCCCACGAGTTGAACGGGATGGTTAAATCATCGTCCGTGTCTGCGGTGCTGAGCCTGCGATCGGTATCTTTACCACTGCGCAGCCCACGACTGGCTGAGACGACGTCGAGGGTAGCCACTAGCGAAAGAGCTAGCAAGAGCATGGACACATGTCGTGACATTGGGAAATTGGCGAGCCGTCTACAAGACATCGTGGTTAACTCGGGGGCTTGATGTCCGAAGACGTTCGCCCTAGACGGTAAAAGCTGGAATGAACGAAATAGGGAGACATGGAATTAATCGTGGCGTTAAAACCCCTTGATGACTGCCAGTTAGCATCTGATCTTGATGTGCAAGTTACTGATTTTTGGCTGTCAAAACGATAAGATAGACCGGATGTTGCAATTGATTGGAGGCCACAGGTGGGGTGACCGTCAACGACGGGCACCTGACTCAGATTTACAGACGAGCGGGTAGTGATTAATGATTAAAAATCCACGGTTTGGCTTTGATTAAAAGCGTTATCATCTCAACGTTACACGAGCGAGTACTTGTATTCATACATGTACGCGCAGGTGAAGTCGTGTAGCCCGGCGCCATGGAGTTAACTGGGCAAACTGCGGTTCAGTTGAAAGCCAGGTATACTTCCCGAATAGCTGGGGTGCACCTCTGAAGATGCTCTAGCATAATAAAAGCATAATAAGCGTATGTTATGCGGATCGACGTAAGATCTGGTCGGTCTGGATATGGATTTGGGTACATCTCCATCCATAAACAATTCATAAGCATTTTGTACATGTATTGTTTTTTGCCAAAACTTAGTTCTTGTTTGGACGATGGCGGACTTCACTTGAAACGCTAACGAAAGAATGACCGGACGTTCGCGAGAGACTTATTCTTCGGTGGGACCGAGATTTCGGTAGTGCGTTGGGTGTGCTCAGAATGTATTCTTCTCCGTCCTCCGGGTCGTCATGCACGACGAAAAAGCTTGATCCGTTGTCCCGACTAGAAAACGGGTCGAAGCCAGCAGCAGAAGTGCCGAACATGGCCACACGAGATGGAGGAGGAGGCATTGGCAAGTTCTCTGCCGCTAATGTCTCCATGAGACGATCGTAGTTCACCGAATGGTGGTTCACCACACTGCGACCCAGAGCCAACCGACGAGCCTCCAAGGACATCTCCGATACGGAACCTCGGTGTGCTCCATCAGCTCGCAAGTAATACGTCGCAGTACTGAAGTCATTCGTCGTACTGATCTCGTTCGATAACGCCTCGGCTGACTTCTGGTCCAGTAGAGCCATACGCGTTGCAATATTGGCCAAAGCAATCGACGGCTGGATCACCAGTATACCCTGTTCCTTCATCTCCTTGCTGAACTTGCAATCCGGCACCAATGCGATCATCCGAGGGTGCGATTCACCCAGTAAGGATTTCAACATCAGAATATTTTCGCGAGTACGGTTAGCATCGCCCGTGTAGATGAGAACATCAGCTGACGACATGGTCTGTGCATTGTCACGGTCCTTGAGTGTATTCTTGTACGAGATGAGTTCTCCCTTGGCGGTTCTCTTCAAGATCGTCTCGTTCATTTTCTGCCATTTACTGGTGCGTTCTTGATCCAGGAGAGGCACGTTAACCTTTGCACCGTAAAGCGAGAGTTCCAGTGCGACCTCGAACGCCACTTCATCATCACCAATGACAACCGCGTTTTGCACCTTATAGAACGGCAATGGAGCTCCAGGGTCATGCATCGAGAATCGACTAGCTCTGACCGACAGCCGACTTTGCCGTACTTTGCGATCGCCTTCATCTCCGTTATGTTCCAGATCTTTCCCGTCGATATCGGGTTTATTATCGTCGTGTTCTTCTACTGCCCGATCTTTCAGTGTTTCACCGGCGCGACCCAGCCCCATGGAACACAACACCGGCCCCACGATTTGATTAACCACTACGGCGGCCACGATCGTCGCTGCGAAATCTGCAGCCCACGTATCGTCACTCATGGCCTTGACTTCGTTTGCCAAACCTAAGGCAACACCAGCTTGGGGTGTCATTGTGAGCCACAGGTTGTTGTACTGCCTTGGTGGTAACTTGAGCAAGAAGCGACCACCGACGTAGCAAGCGATGAAGATCGCAATATACCGTAGTAGAACATACACTGTCATAAGCGGGATGGCATGTACCACCTGATCCAGCTTCAGTGCTGCGCCGGTCATGACGAAGAACGGCAGGAACATGTACGGTGCTGCGGTATCTAGAATCACGTGCATGTCGTGGCGAATCCCCGTGTGGTGTCCAGCGATACACGCAGCAATCATAAGCACAAGTAGCGGCTCGAACTTTACTTCCCACGACAAACTGTAAGCTGCAATGGTGGCTTGGGCGATCGTCGTTGTTGAGAGGTAAAACATATACCCCATTGATAACCAGATGAAGCCTTTCAAGCAGAGAGATGTCTGAGGTGTCAAAAAGGAGGACGAGGTCGCAGCAGACTCGCCATCTTGGGGGTAAGCGTTGTGAGGATGAGGTGCGCTGTCCATATTGACTGAAGTAGCTTTCACGTCCGTCTTCTGGTTATAATACGACGCACTTGGACTGTCAGTATGACCATTTTCATGCCCATTTGTGTGACCGTGGTCGTGGTGTTCTCCTCCAGGGATCTGGAAGATCAGGAACGTTACACCTGCCAGAATCACACCTAGCAGAATGTTGGACATCACGATGCTCAATGTGAACATGAGGTTACCCATTGATACGTCCAATTCAGCACAGTAGATGGAGCATACGATTCGAGAAATCGAAAACGACAGGAGTACTACAAATTCGGCCGTCATGGTTGCTCCCAGCATCAAACTCGTGAACGGACCCACACTGTTGAGTTCAATCTTGATGGCCATGACGGTGGCTGGTGATCCCAGCACGGAGATGGAGCCGAACATGAGAGCAATACCCAATTGACAGCTCAACGCCAGGTCGTCGTAGAAGAAGGCGCTTTCAACGAGTAAATGCACCGATGTCAGGATGACCATAGCCGTCACGTACAGTGCGGAGAGCAGAATGAAGATGGCTTTCAACTGTGGACGAAGCTCCGGTAGATAAATCTCCTGACCAGCCTGGAACGAGATGAACGACAGTGCCAACGCACTGACGTAGTTCGAGAGCATATTGACGAGGTCTTCCGTTAAAAGGTTGGCCACGAACGGGCCAGCGATAATGCCGATAACCAGGTACCCCGTGATGAGTGGAAGTTTGAAATACTTTGGAAAGAAGAGTCCGAGCGGGTGGGCGGCCACCAGTACGATGACGAAGGCGAGTGCATACCGCAGTGTTTCGATGGTGTTGCTCCATGAATTGAACGGCACGGTTTTGTCCGGGTCTCCCGTGGCACCGCTTAATCGACGCGTGATGTCGTGACCCTTGTCTAAGGCGTTATCATCCCGCAGTGTGGAATGGCTTGACACAACCTGTAAGCAGGAAACAGCCACAGTGAAGACGAGAAGGAGCTCCGAGCCGGCACGAATGCTATTCTTTCGCATCGGGTTCATTTACTGAACGCTTTCGAGCTTGACGTCGAAAGGCGAATGTCGGAATGAGCTTGTAACTTGGTGACGTCGCGACGAATTGTCTGGTTTAACATTTTCCCTCTTGCGAATGCCTGCGATGCTCCGATAGACGATAGGAAATCGAGTCGATTTCCTGTCGTCTATCCCTACATCCCGCAACTCGACGAAGTAAACTGTACCGTATGTGTGGACACCACACTCCACCAGCTTCTTGTGTGTTCGGCAGGGTAACACACCGAGAAGAAGACTGTGACCTGGTGGTCGTATGGTGTTCGACATGGTGTAACGCAGCGTGCGAACTAAAAAAAAATACTAGTATATGTATGAAGCTATTTGAGAAGCTTCTGTTGGGAGGTGTGGCAATTGTTGATGTAGCTGTCAAGTCCAGCGTGTCAGAGCGTTTCGGAGGACCGTGTCCGTGTCGAACCACCTTCAGACAGAGCAGATCTTGCCACAAAATTAACATGTTAATAGCACGCGTGCGTCCTATCCAGCGATCTTGATGCTTTTACATGATCTCGAGATCTTAGACAAACGTACACCTTGATTTTCAAACATGTGCATGACCTTACATCTTTACGTTGAAGTTGATTCTTCTGAGCTTTACTTAGTACCCGGATTTGGTGCGTCCGGGTGTGCGTCTTCCTCGGCCGCCACCACGTTGAACGCGACTCGCTCCAAGGATAGATGATCGCTGGAGACTCAGTCGAGGGTTGCCACGCGACGAATACGGTCCGTACTGGGCGTCCATAACGATCTCCTCGGTATCTTCATGCTCGTCGTGCATGACGAAAAACTCCGAGTTGTTCCTGTCACGCTGGAACGGGTCGAAGCCAGCAGCGGACGACGTACCGAACATGGCAACACGTGACGGAGGCGGAGGCATCGGCAAGTTCTCAGAGTGAAGCGCCTCTGCCAGGCGGTCGTAGTCCACTGAGTGGTGGTTCACCACGTTGCGGCCCAGTGCCAGACGACGGCCTTCCAGCCGCATGTCCGCCAAGTCGCCGCCGTCCGCACGTAGGAAGTACGACGCCGTACTGAAGTCACTTGTCGTACTGATCTCATTCGATAGAGCCTCAGCCAATTTCTGGTCCAACAAAGCCATACGAGTTGCGATATTGGCCAGAGCGATAGATGGCTGGATCACCAGCACACCTTGGGCCTTCATCTCCTTACTGAACTTGCAGTCCGGTACCAGTGCGATCATCCGAGGGTGAGAAGCACCTAATAAAGACTTGAGGAGATGCACGTTCTCGCGCGTACGGTTAGCGTCACCCGTGAAGATCAACACGTCGGCAGAAGACATGGCCTGTGCGTTGTCACGGTCCTTAAGAGTGTTCTTGTACGAGATGAGGTCTCCCTTAGCTGTACGCTGTAGGATCGTCTCGTTCATCTTCTGCCATTTGCTGGTGCGTTCTTCGTCCAGCAGAGGAACGTTGACTTGTGCACCGTAGAGCGAGAGTTCGAGTGCGACCTCGAAGGCGATCTCGTCGTCTCCGATCACAACTGCGTTCTGTACCTTGTAGAACGGCAGTAGCGAGCGAGGGTCTCCGTTGCCCAGCGTCACAGCAGGACTGGACAGGCGTCGACTGATTTCGAACTGACTCACGCCACCGCCGTGGATGTTGCTGAAGCGTCCACCATACGTGCTGCTGCTAAAGCCACCGCCGTGCATGTTCTTGTCGACGCTGTCGACGTCCTTGGGCGCTGCGTCCGCCTCCATCATACGGTCCTGCAACGTCTCACCGGCTCGACTCAAGCCCATGGCACACAAGACCGGACCAATGATCTGGTTCACCACCACAGCGGCCACGATCGTGGCTGAGAACTCAGCAGCCCACGATTCATCACTCATAGCCTGCACCTCGTTAGCCAGACCCAGAGCCACACCAGCTTGAGGCGTCATCGTAAGCCACAGGTTGTTGTACTGCCTGGGCGTCAGCTTGAGGATGTAGCGACCACCGAAGTAGCAGGCGATGAAGATCGCCACATAGCGGAGAATCACGTACAGACTCATAAGCGGAATGGCAGCCACGACCTGGTCCAGCTTCAGTGCTGCACCGGTCATGACGAAGAACGGTAGGAACATGTACGGTGCGACCGTGTCCAGGATGACGTGCATGTCGTGACGGATGCCCGTGTGGTGGCCGGCGATACACGACGCGATCATAAGCACAAGCAATGCTTCAAACTTGATCTCCCACGACAACCCGAAGGCTGCGGCGGTGGCTTCGGCTACGAGACTGCTGGAGATGTAGAACATGTAACCCATGGACAGCCAAATGAAGCCCTTAAGCGATAACACAGCCTTAGGAGACAAGCAGCAATCAGAAGGAGGGTGGTTCAGTTCGTCGATTGAGCACTCTCGGTCAGCTCCGTTATGCGGGTGCGGCTCCATGTCCGGGTTGGTCGGTTCAACCTTCTCGTTGGTCTTCTGATCAGTGTACGACGTGGTGTTCGGCAACGCAGCTCCGTGGTCAGCGCCGTGGTCGTCGTGGTGCTGCTCCCCGCCTGGAATCTTGAAAATGAGGAGAGTCACACCCGCTAGTAGAACACCCACGAAGATGTTGGACAAAACGATGGTCATAGTATACATCAAGTTGAGCATCGACACGTCCAGTTTGGCGCAGTAGATGGAGGTCACGATACGAGAAATCGAGAACGAAATGAGCACAATGAACTCGGCGGTCATGGTAGCTCCCAGCATCAAACTCGTGAATGGACCGACACTGTTCAACTCGATCTTGATGGCCATGACAGTGGCCGGAGAACCCAACACGGAGATGGAGCCGAACATGAGAGCGATGCCCAATTGGCAAGCCAAGCCCATATCATCGTAGAAGAAGGCGCTCTCCATAATCAACACACCGGCCGATAGAATCACCATGGCCGTGCAGTACAACACACCGAGAAGAATCATGATCGGCTTGAGTTGCGGACGAAGTTCCGGGAGGTAGATCTCCTGACCTGCCTGGAACGAGATGAACGACAGTGCCAATGCACTGACATAGTTCGAGAGCATTTTTACTAGATCCTCGCTCAATAGGTTGCTGACGAACGGGCCAGCAATGACACCAATGACCAGGTAGCCCGTAATAAGCGGGAGCTTGAACAATTTGGGGAAGAAAAGGCCAAGCGGGTGTGCCGCGACCAGCACGACCACGAAGGCCAGCACGTATTGGAGCGTGTCGATGGCGTTGCTCCAGGAGTTAAACGGCACGGTTTTGTTCTTGTCGCCTCCACCGCCGCTCAGACGGCGGGTGGCGTCGTTATCATCTTCCCGCAAAGCAGGGTGACCTGAAGTTACATGCAAGAAACTGGCTACGACCAGCGAAAGCGCGAGCAAGAGCACCGTCGACTGCGGTGCTGCAGGCAGACGCCGAGTAATGGCCATCTCTTCTTGAAGTTTATCGCTTTGAGCCTTGAGCTGCCGACGGTAAATCCCAGAATGAACGAGCGGATTGCGGTGTGTCGCTCAAAGCCAAAAGCGCACGTGCCAGATCAAGCGATTGGTCTTGGAATACGCTGAACGAAGATGGACTGCATCCTCCAAAGCAGCTCCGTGGGAGGACAAAGTCCGGCTCCTTGTGGTTGCCGGATACCCACGCAGACAAGACTTGTCTGCACTGTCAATGCAGGTCACATGGCTCGATTCGGATGGCAATTGATGGTGCGGAGGCCCGTTTGCCCTGATTAACACAATTTTAATCTCCACAGTCCAGTTTGCATCGTACAGTTGAACCTAAAAGGCAGTGAAATGGCAGTGTTTCATGGGAACAGCACTGTGAATGGCTGTAACATGGCCACACAGGTACAGTGGCCTCCTCCAAATCCCAGGCTAAACGGCGCTTTTCACGCTCCCCTCGGCATCATTTCGTCCTTTCGCTAGAATTCTGCTGCAATCGATATCGAATCCGCAAATGTCGTCGTATCCATTCCGCGTATCACACGTATCCTACCGGTACACCAACATTGGGAGTTGACGGCGCGGAACAATGTCCATAATCCGCCGTGACAGTTCGTTTTGCCACAGCTTTTTGAAGGTGTGCAGTTCGGAAGATTTTGGGATGGTCGACGGATAGCCGCCACTTCACCTTCGTCATATAATACAAGCAAGCAACTGGAAGTATCCGCACCGTGCGACACAGAATGCGATGAGACTGATAGTTAAACCAATGGTTTACCGTGACAACACTCTTGCTACAAACGTAATCGCGACCGATATCTCCCTATGCCGCTGTAAACTCACTCGACCACCAACAAGTATATGTACAATTAGTCGACTATCGCAACGTAAAAACTCTGTGTACATCGATTCCTGGCGCTGATTCAGCGCTGCTAAATCACTGACAATTGGTCATGGTCGGCGACAATGAGTTTCGTTTTTCGCGCTTACAGACCGACGTTCTAATACAGTTCATATAAAGCTTTCGCGGCATTGACTCTTCAACCTATGGAGAATCAGTAGGACACATTTTTGCTTTGCACGTTTGCGTACCAGCTTGCTGCTGGTATGTAGACAAAGGCTGCAAGTTCCGCCGTTGGCGTTTTTAACTGCTACCTGTGCGAATAGTATCCGACCTAGTCGTCGAGTTGAAAGGCAGCGGTGCACCGTCAGTACTGTGCTGTCATTTTCTCTGCATCCGTTGCAACCGGAGCATGTATCCTGGCTAGTGTTTAGTGGCAAACCTTCTTGCCACCAAGTTTTGCATTTGCATTTGACACGTCTTGTCCACACGACTTTTTTCGCCGCAGTCGGTCACTACAGCATACGAATCTGTCGTAGCAGTATATTATCAGCCAATCGCCTGTCTCCCTCTGCCGTCCCTTTTGCACCACTCACTTTTCAGTCTCTAAAACTCCCGACACGTCAAGCACCATGCGGAGCGACGTGACCGCAGAGGAGTTGGCCATGCTGCAGCGGCCGTTCGTGCGCGGCGAGACCGACATCTTCGCGTACCTGACGGCGCTCATGAAGCAGCGCACGCTCATCTTCGACGGCGGTATGGGGACAATGATCCAGACGCACAAATTCACAGAGGAGGATTTCCGTGGCGAGCGGTTCAAGGACTCTCCGTGCCTCGTTAAGGGCAACAACGACTTGCTGTCCATCACACAGCCACAGGTCATCAAGGACATCCACAAGCAATACATGCAAATTGGCCGGGCGCAACTCATTGGCACCAATACGTTTTCCGGCACAACAATCGCCCAGGCCGACTACCAGATGGAACACTTGGCCTACGAGCTCAACTACGAGTCGGCCAAGCTGGCCAGAGAGGCGGCCGACGAGGTTACGGTGCTGGACCCACTGCTACCGCGCTTCGTGGCCGGTTCGATTGGCCCAACGAACAGAACGCTGTCCATTTCCCCGAATGTGGAGGACCCGGGTTTCCGTAACGTGACGTTCGACGAGCTGGTTGATGCGTATTATACTCAGGTTGAAGGCCTCGTGGACGGCGGCAGTGACGTGTTGCTGGTCGAGACCATTTTCGACACTCTAAACGCTAAGGCGGCCGTGTTCGCCATCAATAAGTACCAGGAAGCCACCGGCCAGAAACTGCCGCTGTTTATCTCCGGTACTATTGTGGACATGAGTGGCCGTACACTGTCTGGCCAAACGACTGAGGCCTTCTACGTCAGTTTACGCCACTCGAAGCCGTTCTGTATCGGTTTGAACTGCGCATTGGGCGCCAATCAGATGAAGCCCTTCCTGCAGCGTCTGTCCAACGTGGCCGAGTGCTTTGTGTCGGTTTACGCCAACGCCGGACTTCCCAATGCTATGGGCGGATACGACGACACCCCGGCCATGATGGCCGAGTACTGCGAGGAGTTCTCGAAGGACCGTCTGGTCAATATGATGGGCGGATGTTGTGGCACGACACCGCAGCACATTCAGGCCATCGCAGAGATGACGGCCAAGTACGAACCACGTCCACTACCTGAGCTAAAGGAGCCGTTCATGTGGCTTTCGGGTCTGGAGGACATGATTGTGACGAAGGAACGATTCAGCTTCTTGAACGTCGGCGAACGCTGCAACATCTCCGGTTCTCTGCGCTTCAAGCGTCTCATCATGAAGAGTGACTATGGTACAGCCATGGACGTGGCCCGACAACAAGTTGAAGACGGCGCTATGGTAATCGATGTGAACGTGGATGACGGTATGCTGGACGGTGTGGCGGCCATGGAGCGTTTTCTCAAGATCGCAGTGACCGAACCGGATGTAGCCAAGGTTCCGTTCATGATTGACTCGTCCAAGTTCCATATCGTGGAGGCCGGACTTAAATGTGTCCAGGGCAAGTGTATCGTCAACAGTATCTCGCTCAAAGTCGGCAAGGAGCTCTTCATGGAGCATGCGCGCATCGTCAAGAACCACGGTGCAGCAGTGGTGGTTATGGCCTTCGACGAGGAAGGCCAGGCTGCTACAGAAGCCGAGAAAGTGCGTATTTGCAAGCGGTCGTACGACATTCTAGTGAATGAAGTGGGCTTCCCGCCAGAGGATATCATCTTCGACCCGAACATCCTGACGGTGGCCACGGGTATGGAGGAACACAACAACTACGGTGTGGATTTTATCAACGCGTGTCGAATCATCAAGGAGCAGAACCCGTACTGTAAGATCAGTGGCGGTGTGTCCAACCTGTCGTTCGGTTTTCGAGGAGTGAATGTCATTCGAGAAGCTATCCACAGTGTCTTCCTGTACCACGCAGTCAAGGCTGGTATGGACATGGGTATTGTGAACGCTGCCATGCTGGAAGTGTACGATGATATCCCGAAAGATCTACTCAAACTGGTCGAGGACGTGGTACTAAATCGTCACCCAGACGCAACTGAAGCACTTTTGGATCGCTCTTTGATCGAAAAGGAAAAAGCCGATGCCGCCAAAAAAGGTGGGGCCGTCGCGGCCGCTGGCAGCAAGCAGGAATGGCGTAACAAACCTATCGGTGAGAGACTTACTCATGCTCTGGTGAAGGGAATTTCGGAGTTTATCGACCAGGATGTCGAGGAAATGCGCAAGGTTGCTGAGAAACCACTTGACGTGATTGAAGGGCCACTTATGGATGGTATGAACGTCGTGGGTGAACTCTTCGGATCGGGTAAAATGTTCTTGCCACAGGTGATCAAGTCTGCTCGTGTGATGAAGAAGGCAGTGGCCTATTTGCTGCCGTTCATGGAGGAAGAGAAGAACCAACGTCGTCTGGCCAATGTGGCCAACGGTATTGCCAACGAAGACGAGGACGAAGACTCACAGTATGCTGGCAAAGTGCTGATTGCCACCGTGAAGGGAGATGTCCACGATATCGGCAAGAACATTGTGGGTGTGGTGCTCGGCTGTAACAATTACAAGATCATCGATCTGGGCGTCATGGTCCCGTGTGAGGATATCCTGGCGGCGGCTAGAGAGCACAACGTCGATGTGATCGGCCTGTCCGGTCTCATTACTCCGTCGCTGGATGAAATGGTATACGTGGCCCGTGAGATGAACAAGGCTGGCTTGAACATTCCACTGATTGTTGGAGGCGCCACCACGTCCAAGATGCACGCGGCCGTCAAGATCGCCCCGCACTATTCTACTCCTGAACACCCGGTGATGCACGTCCTGGACGCGTCTCGAAGTGTGGTTGTGGTCGGCAATTTGCTTCGTCAGGACGAGGAACGCGATGAGTTTGTGGAAGAAGTCATGGAAGAATACGAGGAGATGAGGGAGGACTACTACGCGTCTCTGGATGACATCAAACTTGTGGGTTTCCAGGACGCCAAGACCAAAAGCTACCAGATCGATTACGGGATTAACCCTCCTTTCGAGAAGGTTAACCGTGTGGGCCTCCATGTTATTGAGGACTTGCCACTGGAAGAGCTGGTGCCTTTCATCGACTGGAACCCTTTCTTCCAGACGTGGGAACTGCGTGGTCGATACCCGAACCGTGGCTATCCGAAGATTTTCGACGATGAGACTGTTGGTGATGAGGCTCGCAAGGTGTTTGATGAAGCACAGAAATTACTACAAGAGATCATCGACAAGAAGCTGCTTCGTGTACGTGGTGTATCGGGTATTTTCCCTGCGTATCGCGACGGTGAAGACGTGGTCGTGTGCGACCCGAAGAACCCGGAGCAGGAGATCTCCAAGTTCTGTATGCTACGCCAGCAAGCGGAGAAGGAGACCAGCGACCCGTACATGTCGTTGGCCGACTTTATTGCACCCAAGGGCGTTGGCCAGGACTATATCGGTGGCTTTGCTGTTGGCGTGTTTGGTGTGGAGGAGATGGCGGCCAAGTTTGAAGCGGATCACGATGATTTCAACAAGATTATGTCCCAGGCCATTGGCGATCGTCTGGCCGAAGCCTTTGCCGAGTATATTCATCGTGAGATGCGTGTGAAGGACTGGGGATATGCGGCCGACGAGGTCTTGAACAAGGAGGACCTATTGAAGGTGAAATACGACGGTATCCGTCCGGCCCCCGGCTACCCGTCGCAGCCGGATCACACGGAGAAGCGTGCGCTGTGGGACCTGCTGAAGGCCGACGAGCTGATCGATCTGAACCTCACGGACAGCTACATGATGCTGCCTGGCTCGGCCGTCAGCGCTCTGTGCTTTGCACACCCGGACTCGCAGTACTTTGCAGTGGGCAAGATCGGCAAGGACCAGGTTGTCGAGTACGCTAAGCGCAAGGACCAGACACTGGAGGAGACGGAGCGCTGGCTGGCACCGATCCTCGGCTACGACCGCTCGGCGTAAGGGTGTCTCGTGCATTGATTCTGCGCAACTATCTGTGGTGTGCTCTGCATGAGCGGGACGTTGGGACGATAGAAATGCCATTGGAGAGGCGGGCATCCTGCAACTAGGCCTGCCTACTTCATTGCCATTTCTGCGTGCATTTACGCACGGAGCTATTCTCTCATTTTGAGCTTCTTGAGCGAATAGTCAAGTCCAGACGACCTGCCTGTAGAGGACGACACTCAGGCATTGCGTAGGCCTAGTAAACAATCATGTGAACAAGACCTTGCGCGCACTCTTTTATACATGTACCCATCGAATCAATTTGCGTTTCCTCTGTTCGAACTGAAAAATAACCAAAAGTTTGCAAGGATCATCTGGCAATTTTCCTTCAACTTGAAAAGGCCTCGTTTTTGTATGGCGTCTTGAAGGGTTTCTTGAACATTGCCAGTCTGCAATCTCAAGGCAAAAAGAGAAAAAGTCATGTGGCGCGTGGGCAGATCCATGGGCCTTCGCGGGGCTAGCCGTGCCTCTCGCCTGCCGCTACTGCGCACGTTGAGCACCAAGATGGACGAGTCTGCGTATCCGCCTCAGTGGATCAAGATGGCCACCAAGGAGCTCAAAGGCAAGGATCCAACCACACACTTGGTGTGGAATACTCCCGAGGGTATCCCCATCAAACCTCTGTACACTGAGAACGACTTGGAAGACCTGGATCTAGTACAGGCACCCGGTATCTTCCCCTTCACACGCGGGCCGTACGCCTCCATGTACACGGCCAAGCCCTGGACTGTGCGACAATATGCAGGCTTCAGTACGGCCGAAGAGTCCAATGCGTTCTATAGGAAGAACCTGGCCGCGGGCCAACAGGGCCTCAGTGTGGCCTTCGATCTGGCCACACACAGAGGCTACGACTCGGACCATCCGCGCGTCCACGGCGACGTGGGCATGGCCGGCGTCCCCATTGACTCAATAGCAGACATGAAGATCCTATTCGACGGTATTCCACTGGATAAAATGTCAGTGTCTATGACTATGAACGGGGCCGTGTTGCCCATTCTGGCCATGTACATTGTGACGGCCGAGGAACAACAAGTGGACCAAAAATTGCTATCTGGTACGATCCAGAATGACATTTTGAAGGAGTTTATGGTGCGCAACACCTTCATCTACCCGCCTGGCCCGAGCATGAGGATCATTCAGGATATCTTCGGCTACACGTCCGAGTATATGCCCAAGTACAACTCCATCTCGATCTCTGGGTATCACATGCAAGAAGCAGGAGCCGACGCCCGATTGGAGCTGGCTTTCACTATAGCTGATGGTATTGAGTACGTCCGAGCAGCTCAAGCGGCTGGCCTTGACGTGGACGCTGTGGCCCCGCGACTTTCTTTCTTTTTCGCTATTGGAATGAACTTTTACATGGAAGTGGCCAAGTTACGAGCTGCCAGAAAATTGTGGGCCAATTTGATGAAAGAAAAGTTCCAGCCGAAGAATGGAAAGAGTTTACTACTACGAACTCACTGCCAGACGTCGGGATACTCGCTAACCGAGCAGGATCCATACAATAACATCATGCGGACGACAGTGGAAGCTATGGCCGCTGTCATGGGCGGCACGCAGAGTTTACACACAAATGCATTGGATGAGGCTCTGGGGTTGCCGACCGAGTTCAGTGCTCGCTTGGCCCGTAATACGCAGTTGGTGTTACAGGAAGAAACGGGTATTCCGCGTGTGGCCGACCCGTGGGGCGGGTCATATTTGATGGAATCGCTTACGCAGGAGCTGTACGATGCTGCTCTGGAAGTGATCAATGAAGTGGAGGAGCTGGGTGGAATGGCCAAGGCTATTGAGTCCGGGATGGCCAAGTTGAGAATCGAAGAAAGCGCCACCAAAAAGCAGGCGCGTGTTGACTCCCGTGAAGAGACTATCGTCGGTGTGAACAAGTACGTGGTGGAGAACCCAGACACAGTAGATGTGCTCACGATCGATAACACAGCGGTACGTAAGAAACAGATCGCACGGATTAAAGAAGTCAAGGCGAATCGGGACGAAGCTGCAGCTCAAGCGTGTCTTCAGAAGTTACGAGACTCAGCAGCACTTACAGAGAGTACGGGGCCAGGCAAACACCCAATGAACCTGCTGAAGTTATCTGTGAACGCAGCGCGTGCTCGCTGCACGGTGGGTGAAATCTCCGAGGCTCTTGAAGACGTTTGGGGTCGACATGTCCCCAAGAGCTCCGTCGTGTCCGGTGCATATCGTAACGAGTACAAACACAACGACGAGGCTGAAGCTGAATACAACGCAGTCGTCAAGGAGATTGAAGCTTTCGCTGAACGGTTCGGCCGTCGGCCTCGTATGTTGGTGGCCAAGATGGGCCAGGACGGCCACGACCGTGGAGCTAAGGTTATTGCATCCGGGTACTCAGATATGGGCTTTGATGTCGACGTGGGTCCTCTCTTCTCGGTACGTTGTTGCTTGAAGATGATATAGGTATTTAAGCTAAGATTTTGTGTTCTTTAGACGCCGGAAGAAACGGCACGTCAAGCCGTGGACGCAGATGTGCACTGTATTGGTGTGAGTTCGCTTGCAGCCGGCCACAACACGCTGGTCCCGGCGCTGGTAAAAGCGCTGAAAAATGAAAACGCTGAACACATTCTGGTGATCTGCGGAGGCGTCATCCCGCCCAAGGACTACCAGTTCCTGTACGATGCAGGAGTCGGTGCCATCTTCGGCCCAGGCACACGCCTACCCGTCAGTGCACTTGAAACGCTGCGCGCTATCATCAAAAAGTCGGAAGAAAACGATGCCAAGGGGTTATAAGTGTGTGTGTGTGGCAAAAGAAGAGGAATCGACGTGAGCATGTTGAATGTACTTCTAACTGAAGCTTTTCATTCTTTTCGATTCCAGTGTCGTGTGTCTTCATATTCCTGTGACCTCATAATTCCAATCCCTACTGGAGACACATAGTTATCAAAAACCTACATATCAAACCCTACTTCCGGCTGCTTCCCTCACTCCTGGCTTCCATCACTGGATGCAGCTTTATCTTCGAGATCATGCTCGACTTGCGAGGTTTCCTCGGTTACCTGAGCACGTGTAGCACTCTGACGGCGGCGGCGTCTTTTGGCCTGTTGACGACGTGTGGCTGCGGCCTGCACCTCCTCAGATAGTTGGCGCAACGTGAAGTTCGGGAAGACTTGCGTCGTGGGCATGTGCATGCCCGTCATAGGCGAGATATCGCTAGTCGTAAACCACTGCATAATAGCCTCACGCTCGTAACTGTGTCCATCCGCAGCGACGACAGGATCCACCATCGGACAGCCAGTAATTGGACAGATAAGCTGCTCAGGCACAGCAACATCGCCTTCGTCCTCGTCTTGGTAGTCCTCGCTGTCTTCGTATGTGTCCCAGTGCATCATCATCTCCTCCTCAGCGTCTTCATAGTCCACAGCCAAGCGGTCAGCAGCCGTGAAAGCACGCACGATATGTCCACGATTAGTGCGAGGCCCACACTCTATGAGATCGTCGTCATAGCCACCGTCAAAGCTCCCGTTCATCACACGTCTCGGAGCATTCCAGTACACACGCACGAACTCGTGCTTCACTTGGCCATACGCGTCCTTGGAGCTTGCCACAAAAGTCTGCACACCCGAGTATACACCGGAACGTAGTAAGTCATGAATACTACGCATCATAGTCGAGTACGCCTGAGCGCCAAAGAACGCTGCAAACGCCGCAGAGTTCTCGAATTGAATCCGTGGCGTGTCCGGCAGAGCGCGCCACACCCGCTGGGCACCGGTGACCACTCGGAACTGGCGAACTCTTGTCACTTGGTTGTGTAGCTGCTCCGATGCGTCATGTAGGAGTGAAGGACGACGCTCCACATGCACCAAATTGCGGTGCAGCTCAAAGCTCAGCGGCCATCCTTCTAGACTGTGTGTTTGAGCGAACACCTGGTCCTGGAAAATGTCTAACACCTCCAATCTCGCACCAGGCGGTAGGATTTTCGAGTAATATTCAAGTCCTCCGAAGCCTGTGAGGCGGATAATGTCCCCTTTCTGCGGTTCCAGCCCATTTGACGCTGCGGAGACGTCAAAATCCAGAGAAAGTTGCAATTGTCCCGCACTTTGCGATTCCTCGTCTGTCAATTGATACCATCCACGAGAACTTGAGGCACTGGACATTAGACAAGGCAGCAAAGGCACTACCACAGCACCAATGAGTTTATCGTCAGGTCCTAACGCCGAAACGTTCGGTATGTTCGACGAGTTGGAAGGTTGTGTCGTATCTTTCGCCTCCTCGGCGCGATGAAAAACCTGTATGTAGAGCTCCGGAGCGCACGGGTAGTACTGACGATAGCCTAAGGCAGCCTCGGCCGCTGCGGTGGCTGCTCCGGTCTTTTTGGTGGCTAGTTTGCCGCCTTTGGACTTCGCTTTGCCACTTATTTTATCTCCTGCATCGGCAGTTCGACCGCCTGGAACGCCGACGGTCTGTAGCACTTCAGTCTCGGACGGTAGAGGGACATTAAGTCTTCCAGTTTCCTTCCAACTTGGATTGAGGTCGCGATGCTTGACGCTGGACACGAAGCGCTCGCGATCCAACGATAGCACCACGTACGGGTTCGAGTAGCTTGGTGTCCATTTGAGCAAGCTGCCCAACACGGCGGGAGGCAGGTTGCGTGCACCCAGGACATCCACGCTTAGGACACCGGCAGTCGGCTGCATGGCTAGCGCCGAGCTGGTGCTGCTGGTGCTGCTGCCGCTAGTGGGCGCGACGCTGCTGCACGAAGCCATGGCGAGAATGAGAATGATGTAGTGGCTGAGCGATTCTGCGTCTGTTCCGACCTGATTCACGAGGGACGGGCCAGACCAATTCGCATTTTTTGGTCCTCACTTCAACGTCAGGCTCAATCGCTGCTAGGTGCTGGAACATTTGAGCGGCTCAGCATAGAATAATAATTAGCAGTCGAAGCATTCTCCGTCGAAGAGAATGCCACACTCTAGGTAGAGTATCTGCAAGTAGCGCGCATGTTGTTGCACTGCAAATGCGGGATTGAGTAGTTGTGTAGGAAAGCTGCATGTATTGCAGACGCGCATCGTTTTGGTCCTGTCCAACCTGCGAGGTGACACTAGTGCGTGGAAGTCTCTATTTACGGATGCACCCGAATAGAAAGCACCTCCCGAATAGAAGCACCTCTTCAAATATCGATACAAAATCCAGAAATGGATAAAATATCTAAAAATCCGAGTACGTGGTCCACATAGTGACGTTGCCTCATGGCTGGTAGCAATTGGTCCGGATACGAACCTATGACAAACGCAGTTAACCCACTTTTTCTTCTGCGTCTGTTGATGACATTCTCTGCTCTACCATGAGCTACGGACTCGAAGCTTCAGCAGAGACGCACGAGCGTGGCGCTAAGCGAGCGTTCTCCACGTCACCAACGCTCACGACATCCTCCGATGGCGAGTCCTCCGAGCGCGACGCGCTAATAGGCTCAGACGCCTTGCTGGTGGGTGCCGCGAGCCACAGCGGAACACAAAAGACTGCGCGCCGGCGCCACTCGACCTTCGACTGGATGCTCGGCGTGACGTTCCTCGTGATCGTGGCGCTCATTTGGACGTTCGCTAGCGTGCTGGTGCAGTACATTTTCCACAATCTGAGCTTCCAGGGTCCGTTCTTCCTTACGTACGTTGGCATCTCTCTCTTCTCGGTCAATCTGCCTCTCTGGTACGCGTCGCAAGTGCTGCTCCCAAAGTTCAAGGCCTGGCTTCGAGGTCTACCCACCAACGGCAAGTTAAGCCACAGCGAATTACTGCGTCGATCGGGCGTACAGGCAAGTTACAGCCAAATCTTCCGTATCAGCGCCATCATCTCGCCCCTTTGGTTTATCGCCAATTTCACTTATAACGAGAGTCTCAACCTCACGAGCGTGTCCAGCAGCACCATCGTAAGCTCCACGTCCACAGTATTCACGTTCTTACTGAGTGTTGTGGCACTTAAGGAACCCTTCGTTTGGATGAAACTGGCCGGTGTCATCCTCTGCATGGCTGGTAACATCTCGACGATCTTCAATGATGAAGGAGTGGATGGCGGCACTGATCACGTGTTCGGTGACTTGGTGGCTCTCTTTGCAGCCTTCATGTACGGCGTATACACGACGGCGATCCGCCGTTTGATCCCGGACGAGGAGAGCGTGAGTATCTCGCTGTTCTTCGGGTTCATAGGCGTTATCAACATGGTGTGTCTGCTGCCAATTGTTTTGGCCTTCCACTATTCGAGCATCGAGTCGCTAAGCGGGCTGTCGTTGGAGATCCTGGTTCTCATTGGCATTAAGGGGCTGTTTGACAACGTGTTGTCGGATTATCTATGGGCGCGTGCGGTGCTGCTGACGTCGCCCACGGTGGCCACGGTCGGACTGTCGTTGACGGTCCCGCTGGCCATCGTGGCCGACTTTTGGTTCCACGGCATGCTGCCCACGAACGTGACGTTGCTCGCCTCCACGCTCGTTATCTCTGGCTTCGTACTGATCAACGTCGGCACCAAGCAGAACCAGCATGAATACCATCCGAAACGCTCTACGGACCGCTCGGACGCGGCTCTTGACCCTCGCACGCGCAGCAACAGCGTCGGCGAACTTGGTGTATGAGAGAGGCAATTGTTGAAGCACACGTAGTGCTTGGTGTCTTGAGTGTTCTGGTTTTTAAGCATGAATTACTTGCATTTCCTGCACACACGCCATAATCTTTGGCAATCCAGTGTTGAGTGGATTTGCTGCTCACTCAGGCGATGAATATTTTCGTGTTCAACTACATGTACGGCAAGCGTACACATGCAGAATTTATGTATTCTGCTACTTCCGAAGTATTAGCTTGCACGCTCGAAGCAAGATTATTTCCGTGACGTCATCCGTAATCACTGCAGTGCTTCGTCGAAATGATAATCATGTCGCGTACATGAAGTCGCCGAGACAGGATGGAATTCACACGAGTCGTGGTCGTGTCACGACCCAGTACTCGGGCATTTCTCCCGTTTTGGCTGTGCTACGTTAACAGCACGAGAGGTCGTGAGTAGTTGAAGCTGCGTTCAATTGTACCATCATTTTTTTTGTTTTTCCCATAATTGTGTTGTTCATAACTACTGAAGTACAGATGCCGGAAGACCCGCAATGAAAACAGCGTGGCACATAGATCACAGACAAACGCACTCCAACCAGCTTTCTCGAGTTTTACCGACATGGAGAAAGCTTAATTTTACAACTAAGCACTGCGGAAAATTGATTCTCATCCTGGGACCATCTATACTGTCTATGTCACAATCCAAAATAACGATTATTTTAAATATTATAATCGTTACTTTGGATTATGTATGGGACACCTCAATTTTTATTAGCGGAAATAAACAAGTTCATTTCAAAAGCTTGGAAACGAAGATCTTTCAGCAACAACAAAAAAGAAGCTTACATTAATTGGGTAATTGCGTGAAAAGTTTTGAGCACCCGAAGTCTGGTGGTGCATTTCATCTCGCCAGTACAATTGCTTTAGCAAAGCAGAATAGCGCATTTTGATCCTTGTTTACGTGACGTGGTGTTGAAGTGGTTCCAGCAGTACGAGTCGCAGCCCCTTTGCTGGGTGCTCATGGATAAAATCCGTGCGAATGGAGCACAATCATCCCGCTTCCTATGAGAAAAAGAATCGGTATTCTTTTTGTAGCTTTTGTGTATTTTGTGCAAGAGACGCTGGCTGCTTCGACTTACGCTGGACAAACGACACTTGCCAACTTGAAGAAACAAAGTGAAGACGAACGCCGGAAGAGCAACAGCGACCGAACGACATGGAAGACCTCCCCGCCGTGCTGAAGCTGCATGTGCTGCAGTTCCTGGACCACTCGGCGCTGCATGCAGCCGAGCAGACATCGCATGCGCTGCTGGAGCTCACACGCGAACATGGTGCGACTTCTAGACGTCATTCTCGTGAATTTCCAGCGTTGCACTAACTATTTTCTTGATTTTCGCTGTTTATAGAGCTGTGGAGAAGTCTATCCGATGCACATGTGACCTGCAGCGAATCACTGAACCGCTCCGACCTGTGGAAGAAGATGGTTTGTCTGGCACAGCGCTCTGCGGTTGATGACAAGCAATTGCTGGGCGGAGTGGAGGCTTTCTCGTCCGCGGATCGGCCCAGCGAATCACCTGTGAATACACTCACGTCCTCGCGTTGCTGGATGGAGTTGCATCAACTTCAGACAACGGACTCTGAACAGGAGGCGGAGCTGACGACGCTGGGAGAGCGTATACAACACCGCTGCGGCTGCTCTTCGGGTGAATCGTGCTACTGGAGCAGCTCGGCGTCAACTAACCAGAACGCAACTGAGTTCATCGACTACGCGCTTAATGGACCATGTGTAGTGAATGCTGTGCAGATCGTCCCGTACCGAGTATTCTGGCACCCGGACAGCCCCACATACGCGCCCAAAAGAGTTCGGTTTGAATTCTTTGACGTTGACGATATGGCGACGCTGCAGGGAGCTGCAGGGTGGCGGAACAGACCTCTAGGCACGCGCGCATCAGTTATCAAACCATTTTTCGCGTCACATGACTATGAGGTGAAGAATGACATGACGTTGCAAGAGTTTTTGCTACCCAGGAAGGTGGCGGCCAGCAAGAAGACTGTGTTGCGTATCACACTGATCGGACGGCACCAGGCACAAACATTTGAGCTGCCTGAGGAGTTTCTCGATGGCAACGAAGAACGACGACCCAAATATTACTGTTGTCTGAGCTATGTGAATGTCTGTGGAGTGCCATGGAAGCCTGTGCAAACGGAAAGTGAGGCTTCCACGTCAATAGCTCAATCGTATTCAATGAGTCCGAACCTGCGTATGGCGGCGCTCACCGGACTGGCAGTGTATATGACTGCTTGTTACGAAGGATTCGTCGGTCGTACTCGACGATGGGAGTAAAAATCCGACCAAGGAAGCAAAAGTAATCATTTATCTTAGCAAAACCCACGTACGAATAGTAAAAGCCAAATATCTTTATCATACACGTCTAGTTTCTTCTCGTCACCATTTTTCAAATTCCACTCGCATGCCACACGCACAGTTTTTGGTCCAGCTTTTGGCTTCTTCGTCGAACTTTTCAGCATCAAATGCATGTCGATGATCTTTGTCAGCCACTGGCACGTACTCGGGCTTCTCTTTCTTTTCCTTTTGCTGTTGTGCCTCTTCATTTTCATCTTTATCCAAGCCGATCAAATGTTGTTTCTTCAATAGATGCTTCGTCCTCCCCGCTGCAGATCGAAATGCTCGCTTCTTTCGCTTTTGCTTTTCGCGCTGAAGTCCCTCTTCGTCCCCATATAAGCGATGAGCTTCTCTCACTAACATTCTTCTCAAGTAAAGTTGCAATGGCGCAAAAGCTTCATGTCGTGGATTAGGCTTGTCCAAGTGTGGCAAACCGCAGAAGGAAGAGTCTGGCAGAGCATATTCGGTTCGAGCGCGAGACTTGGACAGCACCTCGAACGCACCGTCGCGCAGCGTTTGATCCTGCTTGCAAGTCACGCACACCTGCAGCGAGAAGTGGTCCAACAGCATGCGGTCCAGATACATCGCGTCGTCGCCGCATTCTTCGCAGCGACCAACAGGCAGATCGTCGGTCATTGAGTTGGATGACTCTGGTGCCATTGTGGCAATGGTGGCGCCAGTATGCAAGTGAAGTTGTGTCGTTGGCGCGTTTTTTTTTAACTTGAGTTCAGTAAGGGTCATTATTTCGGGGTAGTGATGAAAGCTGCATGTTTGGATTGACACTGCAAAATTGAGTGGACGTGAAAATGGCCGAAACAAAGGCACCCGAGGACGCGCAGACGCTGAGCAAGCTCCCGCAGAAGAAGTTCTACCGCTCGCGTGCGCACTGCAACCCGCTGTCGCACAATGACTGCTTCAACTAGTACGTGGTTCGATATAATTGCAATGAAATGCCACCAGCGCAGGACAACACTAATGGTGATATTTTACTTCCACAGCCCGCAGACGCCCGATGAAATGGACTGGTCCACACACTACCCAGGCATTGAGAACCCGTACGAATCTACACTTATAAGGTCATCCAGTCAGTTCATTGATTTCGTATTGATATGAGCAGGAGCGTGGACTTTTTGGACGTCGGCTGTGGCTTCGGTGGACTCACAGGTTCGTCCTATGCAGCGATTAAAATCCTCGTTATGGATAATGGCAATCACGTTTATTTTACTGATTGCAGTGAAGCTGGCGGAGTTGTTCCCAGATAAGTTGACACTGGCGCTCGAGATCCGTGCCAAGGTGACTGAGTATGTTCGCCTTCGTATTGAGGCGCTTCGTTCCGAGAACCCAGGACAGTTCCAGAACGTGTCGGCGTTGCGCACGAACGCTATGCGCTATCTTCCCCACTACTTCCGCAAGGGCCAGATCACCAAGATGTTTTTCTGCTTCCCGGACCCTCAATTCAAGGCGCGTCTGCACCGCCGCCGCATCGTCCAGTACGTGACTTTAATGCCTGTGAAGAAGTATACGATGAAATTTTGAATTAACCATGGCATGTTTGTTATTACAGCACTCCACTACTTGCTGAGTACGCGTATCTACTGGCTCCTGGTGGTATCTTGTACACCATCACGGACGTGGAGGAGCTGCACCAGTGGCACGTAGAAAAGTGCTCCAGCCACCCGTGCTTCACTCGTATCCCCGACAGCGAACTGGTGCGTTTTCACTTAAGCACAAAACATTGAGAATGCCATACTAATATTTGCTATAGGAGTCCGATCCGTGCGTCAAGGCCATGACAGAGGAGACGGAGGAAGGCAAGAAGGTTGCTCGTGGTGGTGGCAAGAAATACGTAGCGGTATTCCGACGGAAGGCGAATGAAGATGTCGCCGTCGACAACCTCTTCTGGTGAGAGGTTGTCCATACACCCACACAAGGTCTACAAGGACAGGCTTTTAGATCCAGCGAGCTTTTTTTACTTTTTGAATGAACTGCATTGCTTCTTTCTTACATGCCACGCTCTGCGCACACCTTCTAACTAGCACCCCCTGTGTTTGTCTTACATCAAGCACGCGAAGGGGTCGTCGCTCTGTACTGGAGGCGGTGACGGCGGCTTCTCTTCGAATCCACGGATATCGTTGCCAGCGAAGGGGTCGTTGACATCAGGTATCAATGTATCTGTGGTAGGAACTGAAGTTTCCTTGGGTGGTTCACTTCCTCCTACGTCGGGAAGGAGAAATGCCTCGTTAACTGTCGTGGTAGCTGATGTGGGCGAAGTTGTGGCGGCGGATTGCGAACTTGACGAGCCCATGACGCCGCTCAAACGGTTTGCAAATGACCACGAAGACCGTGGCGATTTGCTGGGAGGTGTAGCTGGTCGAAAGCTAGAGCCATCGGAGGCAGTGAGTCCCTCGTTGACTGCAGCCGAAGCATCAGTGATGTTCGTATTGATAGTAGTCAGGAAGTCCTCCATCGAGCGTGACGATGCTCTTCGCTGCTTGCCTACAGCAGACAAACTCTGGGAACGTAACTCCATCAGAATAACGTTAATGTCGCCCTGGGCCTCTTCCAGTACGTCCATGATCCGATCACTTGTAGCTTGAATTACCACTGCACAAAGGAACAAGAAAACAATAAAGTTAGTACGAGGTTTCAGTGGATAAAGAAGTAGAGAGGGACGTACTGGAGAAGTTGCCGTAGTTTGCGTTCATCTCGTTCCAAAGGTAGTCAAACAACACGAACACCTCTGAAAAGAGCAGTTGGAAAGCCTCGTTGTCGTAGAACAAGGGCCAGTTGGCTTGCTGATCACGAACAAGCTCGCCGTCAAACTTCCAGAAAAGACGTGCCACCATGCACGTCACGTTGATGCCGGCAGGACCCCACGGGTACGTGTGATCGTGCGAACCAGGCACTTGGCTCGTCACCATGCGCACAGCTTGTGTAGTGTAATGCGATGCGAAGTACACCAAACAATCCAGACTCAACATGCCACCAGCACGGAAGTCTGTTGTCGGATCCGGACGCTGGAAACCCAATCGACTCCACGATTCTCCAACGCGCTCAAACTGCAGCTCCTGAGTCGCATTAGGAGCCTCATCATTACCATTCTGATCACCATCGCCAAAGTCCAACAGGTTGCCCTCTGCAATAGACTGAGGCTGCTCAGAAGTGGACGATTCGTTCTCCTTATCGAAAGGATGTTGCGAGTAGATGGCGTTCCACAGAGCACGAAGCTTCTCCTCATACTTCTCGTCTCCACTCACGCAATTCTGCTTCAGCAAGGCAAACCGCTCCTGCATGTGCGTAATGTATGGCTCGTCAGGCATTCCTGTCTTGCCCTGGCGTGACCACAGAGACGTGCCCTCAGCGCCACCATTACCACGCATAAAGGCAGGTATCAGCTCCTCCCGTCTCTTATTACGCAGCAAGTCGCGCTTCGTGGCTTGCGCAAGTGCAGCGCGCTCGCGTTCGCGTGCCTGCTTATCCAGTCCCACCAGACTCTTGCAACCATCAGCAACACCGAAATGAAGAGCGTAGGCTACAACCGCGCCATCCGCATAACCGCATACGATGCATCGCTCGTCTTGGCCCATACTCAGACTCGTGAGTTCAGCCCCTATTCTCTTGCATTCAATGCGTCGAACAACAGACCCAGGTATACCAGCGTCACGTACTTCGATCGCTGCGTCTGCACCAGCGCATGCTGTGATAAGATACTCTCCCGATCGCGTAAAAAGCACGCCGCGTTCCAGTAGCAAATGTGGCACCTGAAGTTTATCATCCTCACCCTCAGTAACCTCTTCGCCCTCAGCTCTCACGACCAGCTTGTCGTGGGATACCACGTGACCATTAATGGACACCACGTACAGCTCGGACTGTTGCTCAGCGCCGTCATTCCGCTTTTCGTGCTGATCATTCGTTGCGACGTACCCGCTACTGGACAACCCACCAGCCACCATACTGCTATTGCCACTGCCAGATTCGCCGACCGTGAGTCGAGCCTTGTCATCCGAGAAGAGTGAATTCGCACGAGAGAAGCGTCCACTTCGCTGGATCTTGTGAGTTGTGATGGAGTGAACCAGCGTGTCTCCCTGCGCTGAAATGACCATGTGAGCGACAGCAGACGTCTCCATTGGTCCAGGTGTGAGCGCCAGAGCGTGAAGAGGTGTCGAACCGCGCAGCGAGTGCAGCAAGAGCATGTTGTCCTTCGATGCACTGACCACCACATCCAAGTCCACATTAAGAGCAACAGCGACCACAGGACTCGTGTGACCGACCAGCAAAACCCAAGGCAGACCACCCACAGGCAGCTCCTTCTTGAGGAACAGACGTCGCGAGCGAGAAGCCGAGAGCTTGGACAGTGCCCACACTGAAACTGTGCAGTCCTCACTGCCAAACGCCAGCGCCAAATCGCCAGTAAAGTCGTCTTCACTGCGCGCCATACACAGAATAGGCTTCTTATGGAAAGCAATTCGCTGCAAGAGCTCGCCATCTGCAGCCCAATGGATGCGCCAACTACCGTCCCAGTAGCCACAACTGATCATTTGCTCGTAGAACACGACACCTTCGCTCACAAGGCATCCAGCAGGAAGTTTCCACCATTGGTCCACATCCACCATGGAGAATGGGCAAAAACGCACCGTATCGGGCACAGAGTTCAGATAGCGCTTGGCCAAGACGACACCGTCGCTATCTGTCGTGTACACAACAACTCCGTGGTCATTGCTACCGGTACTGTGCGCTCCCATGCCGGTGCCACTTCCTAGTCCAGGTCCAGATCCAGTAAGTGCGGTAAGCGCCACAGCGTGATTCAATGCATTCGAAAAGCGCACGCTCTTCACAGCAGCGGTATGCTTGGACGGCAGATCATGACGACGCACTTGTCGACGCGAAGACAGCACGGCCATGCTGTGCGAGGCAGGGTATCGTGCCTCTAATGATTCATCCTGCGTCATACGTGCCGGATGCGGCTTACGGAAGAGCTGGATCGGCACGGTACCACGTTGAACGAGCTTCGCACGCACACCATCGCTCGAGGTGCTGAGATCCAGACGCTCCGGGTAACACGCAATATGATACGAGTTCAATGCATCCACAGCCGCAGATCCAGTCTGCTTGTAGCCGAAGATAAGATCGATCCAGTGGTGCAGGTTGCTGGACACGAAGTCGCTCTCGAGTGCCAAACGGTGAAGTCGCACGAAGTCATACGGCGACGCCGCCCACGGAGGAAGTGCAACATCACGCGCTAGACCTGCCGTCGCACTGACATCGTGCCCTGGTGTGAAGTGTCGAGCTAGGGTCTTGTTGCGAGCACTTGAGAACAACTCTGGCAAGTAGAAGAACTCTGGAGTCAGCTCAAACATGTGCCGCTCATCACTCGTGCACATGCGGAAGGCCTCAGATACCGAATCGAACGTAGGCTCGCCTGCAGCCTTGAGGTGGAACTGCTGTTCCTCGCTGCCCAGAACTGCCCCAGTGAACGGCGCGAGTCGGATCAAGAAGTACAGGACGGACTGCATTTGCGAATACGTGTTCGCATAGTGGAATGCTGGAATGGGAGTCTTTGGGTCCCAACCTTCGTGCGTTGCACGCGCACGCTGAATAGCTTCGGGCGTTTGTGCTCCGATGGGCCGACGCAAGTCGCGATAAATGTCTTCGTCATCCAAGCGGAGCTCTGCAGATTCGTAGTCCTTGATCACCCACGGGAAGATGGGGTACTGCGAAGGATCGTTGTACGAACGACCCGCTGACACGTTGAGCGCCATCAGATACTCGAAGTTACTGATCTCACGACGAACCCACATCTCAGTCCACTTGCTCTTAGCAAGCATCCTGTCTGCTGCCAACAGCCGTTTGCCCCACTTCGCGAGACAAGGGGGTTTTCGCTCTCTGAGCGTGGCGTACACAAGGTCAGCCTCTCCGTTGCTTTCGAGCCCAAAGAAGCACGAACTGCCATCCACGAAGTATATTTCAAGGCCGTTCTGGCCTTCCATAAGGAACCTTCGTCTGTGAATCACGCGGATCACGCGAACACCCCACACACGGCGCTTCAATTGGGACACGTATGCCTCGTGTAGACGCTGTGCATTGCGCTGTCGAACGGCGACTCCTCCGTCTTCGTTGGATTTAAATGCCTCAGCGATCCCACGCAATGTCACCACACGTTCACCCTCGAAGACTATGGTAGCAGCTCCAATACGAAGCACACCATGCACCAAGACACCCGACGGCAGCACCAGATAAGCCTTGGTGCGGTACGGAGCCCCCAGCGTTTTCCAGTGGTCGTGCTTGCTTGGGAACTTCTTCATCATTCGCGACGACGGACCCGATGAGCTTGGTTCTTTAGGACTAGAAGATTTGGTAGGTTCTTTGCTTGTTGAGGCAGACCCTTCCTCTCCTGCTGTATCTGGTGAGTCCTGCGGGTTCGTGTCACCGTCTTCTTCTGACACATTCGAGAGACTTCTGTGGGAACCAGAACCAGATAGTTCAGCGCCCGTTGATCCTGACAAAGTCGTCGGACGTGCACCTGCGAGACGTTTAATACCAGAGGAGAACCGCGTGGATATCGTACCAATACGTCCCTTTGCAGACTTGACTGTGGTTGCCACATCAACGGATACAGCACGACGATCTCGAATGGGCGAGTCGTCCTCGTTGACGGGAGTGACGTTGTCACTGACTTCTGGCGGGGGCGGTGCCAACGGCGCAAGGTCTGGATTCTGCCCGATAACATCCAGGCGTGAAGACGTGTCTACAATTTCGCCCACACTATCGCTGCTGTGCATACGATCGCGCAGCATCGAGCGAGGTGGAACATCATCGCCGCTGCCACTAGCTTCAAGCTGTGTTGAACTGCTGTCGTCGTCCATATAACCCACGTCGCTGAGACGTCGAGCCAATCCGACATAGGCGGGCTCTTCGCTTTCTCCGCCGTCCGATCCTTCTCCATCGCCGCCACTGCTAACGGTGTGAGCTTCGTCGTCATCTTCCTCCTCAAGCGCCTGTTCTGTTGAATCACCTGATGCAGCAAGAGTCGCATCATCTACAACAATAGAGTCCACTGGCGGCATAGTCAATTCGTCTGCCATGTTGTTAAGCATCTCGTTCTTCAGACTCGACGCCCCATAGTTATGCGAGATCGTATCATCTGTATCAGGGAGCAGACGACAACGGATCCAGTTACTCGATGTGTAGATATCCACACGCCAGAACTCGTTGTCACCCCAGAGACCGATGATCGTTCCATCGCCCACAGCATCCACAACGGCTTCTTCTTTCACTCCCCAGACATGACGGACTCCCCATTTGGCCAGCACGCGAAGTTTCATCCAGTCGTCAATGTCCTTGGCCTTCACACGTTCCAGCCAAACGTGGTCCTCTCCATTACTAGAAGGAACGCCCAATGAAGTCGAAGAGCGAGTGAATTTGCTGATTCTCTCCAGCTCGAGTTTGGCGCGATTCTTTTCATCCGCTTCCTCGTCAAACATTCCAACGCGACGCAGAGCGCGGATATCGCGCGCATGGGCCATCTGTTCATGGTAAAAGCAATCGCGCCGACGTACCTCTTGGTTGTTCATGATAAAATCATTTCGAGCAAGCAGATCGGCCAATTGGTCGGACGAACGCAAGGGTACGGACACCAACGACGCCAAAATGCTGGCTAGCTTCACTGCTGACTCTGACCAGCATTTTCTCCGTACGCGGTCAATCAGCGCCGAGAGTTCTGGAATCAGCCATAGCAAGAGCGTTGTTTCGTCACCTGGAGCAGCCTTAATGCACTCGCTTGCAGTGACCAGTCCAGCCGTAGTAGTCATACCGTTGGAACCTGAGCGAGAAGGTGCAAAGCACGAGTCAAACTGCGCGATCTCGTGGCCTAAGCCCATGGCGTTGATGAAGTACTCGAGTTTGTTGATACGTTGGAAAAACACCGAGTTGGCAGGAAGTCGCAGCTTGACCGACGAGAGCTCGTCATTGTCGCTGCCTTCACTGCTGGCTGCAGCCTCCTGGTCGTCAGAGATGAGAACGAGGTACAAGCAACGTAGCAACAGCTGCAGGATCTGTCGCATTGGTCCACCAGGATGAGGGCGAGCGGAAATGTTGCCCCCTCCTGACAACGGGGCTGGCGGTGGATTGGCTGCAGGAGCACTGGGCACAACACCAGTTGGCAGCAGATTAAACCCAAAGCCAAGCATACTCGTACCAGCACTGGAGCGAGCTGCAGAGCCCAACGATGGCGGACTTTGCAGTCCGCTGTCCATCTGACGAGGAGGTGTGCTATTACGACGGTGGGCGTTGCTGGATCGTCGCGCGAAGCTGGCATCAGAATCCGAGTGGAAGTGAGACGCAAAGTGCTGCCAGATGCCGAGAATTGAGTCGACCAGCTCGGCTTCGTGCCAGATCGCACGCTCGCACTTCCAAAAGACCAAGCTCTGAGTCACATCCTCCGTATTTGACCCACCCACCAACTTGCTAGGATCAACTTGGCCAAGCGTATCCGGGTCGTAGTGAAGCACCACAGCAGCCGCAAGCGATGCTAAACTCTCAGCGTTACGCCACAGAATAGACTCTCGCGACGGCGTGCCTTCGTTAATGCGCAGATTCATCTCAGCCGAGAGCATTTCGTTCATCTTGTCCAACGTGGTCTTGAGCAATGATACCACGACCACTTCAAGCTCCTCTGCGGAGGTGATAAAGCGGGATAGTGTAGTGAACGGGTCCTGCAGCAAGAACCACGCCATTTCGTTTGTCTTCACTTCGAGACAGATCATGGATGAAATCACGTCGTACGACATCATCGTGATGAAATCCACGCATCCACTGGGCTGGTACACGGACATCAACTCCACGAGCGCTAGCTTCATGCGACTGGACATGTCATTGAAGCAGCTGGCACTCACGCCTTGCTTCTTGCGGTCACCATCACCGTGCAATGCCAACAGACCGCGAACGAAATCCACATCATCCTGCGTGATAATGGAGAACAGCGCATTGACACGAACCTCGTCGGGCTCTTGCGTGTTCAACACCATGTCTCGCAGACGACTCATCGGGACACCGGGACAGCCATGCAGCTCGATTCCAAATAGCGACGATGGCGGCGGAGGTGGGCTCTCATACTGATGCTGAGGATCGCCACGAAGGCTAAGTATCGACTCGATGATAGGGACCTGCTCCGTCGTTGATGACTCAGTAGCAGTACCGCCCATGCTCGAGATACTCCCAAAGATGAGGATGTTGCGGTTGATAGCGCTAGCTACAGTAGACGACGCGAAGATAATCTTGAGGTGACGGATAGCAACCATGCGAATCGTGACAGAGCTGGCGCGCACCAGGCCCAAGAAAGCAGGCATCATGTTGTCGTGCCAAATCGTCGCGGTGGCAAGCACGTTTTCGTCGATAAGCGCATCGAATGCTGCTGTTTTCCCGTCGAGGGCCTTCATATCCTTCTCTGTCACTTGAATACCCAAAATCATGAGCAGAATCTCAGAGTAAACGCCCATAGAGACTGGTCTCTTCTCCGGTTTCAAAGAATGCATGATCAAATACGCGTCGCCAACAGAAAGCTGAATCTTGTCCGGGTTGTTCACCATCTCACGGTCTTGTGAGCACTCACATTTTAAGTAGAGGTAAGTTCGTAGCAAGCGCAATGTCATGACACGAATGACGTCGTTCGAAAACTCCAGTAACGGCAACCAAATGCGAAGACCACCCAGACGACCAAACAGGTCCAGCATACCAGCAGGAGCCGTGGGCTGAACTGACAATTCGATCAACAGTTGCAACAGGTCGGGCAAATCCGTCTCTGGCACGTTCTCGACGACAGATCCGCTACCATCCAGGTCACTTTCAGGCATGCTCTTTGAGCTCGATGAAGATGATACGGTTGCTGATGACGATGCTCCATTCGATGCTCCAACCTCTTGAATCGCCGGCGTTCCATCGATGTTCATTCCTGGAATCATCGGGTTGCTTGGCTTTCCAATCATACAGAAAATAAGAGAGCGTGTGCTTTCGTACGACAGCTGAGACTTCACTTCTTTACCCTTTCCAGGGAATGCCATGACTGACCCAGCAACCTTCGGTGGGGGAGACTCACATAGCACAATCTTAATCATTGCCAACACACGCTTCCGTAGGACATCAATCTCTTCAGGAGAGAAATCTCGAGCGCGTCGAAGTGTTATAGAAGAAGGAATCCTCCAGTAAATCCACGATAGGCAGCGCAAAAAGTGGCGCGTTGAAGCCGGGGACAGATTCTTACTGTCTTTACGAGTCATGATTTCCAGTTTGTCGAACATGGTTTCTTGGAGATCTACCGGCGCGTTCACCCAGATACGGAAGTTAAATAGCAGGAATTTGTAGATCTCGTCCGCCAAAATTCGATCCGAAATCACAGCGCTGCGCAGCCGCTCGATGGCGATTAGCAGGTCGGAAGTCAAGTACTGCGGTGGCAGCGAGCGCATCAGCAATGCCATGAGTCGTACACCTTGGCTGCGTCGGAAGATAAACTTGTTGACCAGAGAATGACGCATGATCTCAGCGATCAACAGCACAACCTTCGGTATACTGCGCACGCCCATCGGACGCGCAATCAGGTCGCTCATTTGCTTGAGAAAGTCCGAATCCTCGTCGAACTGGGTCGTCAGAGCTCCGCTAGTTCCGGACAAACTGTTCCTCGCAACGATTGAAGTCTCTGACACGTTGTCTGCGTTTCCATTAGAATCTGTAGTCGTGGTGTTCACAGTCGATACGGCCGCAGTAGTAGACGTCACTAATAACGGGAGACAGATCAGCGGGCCACCCAACTGTGCCACCGCTTGCTTAAATGTTCCAGCATGCCTCAACCTCACACCAGCACTAGCTGCAGCTGCATGGTAGTCATTGCCACTAGAATCGTAGCACAAACCCTTTAACCGGTCGCAGTGCCGTGCGTCATAGGCGAGCAGCAGTCCATCGGTCGAGTTTCCTGAAGCATTGGGCCCTCCAGACGCTCCAGACGCGCCATTAACACCACCACTGGATGATGTGGATGAAGACGAGATGTACGAGTTGAACTGGAACACTAGCGCGTCGTATTCGTCCACACTGCGAATATTATTGATGATGCTGGCAGGCAGAGCTTGTCCAAAGAGCGCTGTCGGGCCAAGAAGAATCCGCAGAGCGTTAGTTCCATTGCTTTCACGCATAGCCAGATACGCCTTGACCACTGGAGCCATGAGCGCTGTATTAGGGTATGCTAACCGCACACTCTGTCGCAATTCCGAGTTAAGATACACATCCAACTTGGATCCACGGAACTGGCGATGCGTGTGTGTGATACACAGGAAATGCCACCTGCCCGGCGTCACGAGATCCGGTACTTCCACATGTCCATCATTCTTTCGCTTGTCAAAACTCGTAATCATCAGCGACGAGCGCAGGAACGAGCACATGATACCCACTCCAGTCTTACCGCAAAATGTAAACAGTGGCGCGACTTCTTCCGGCAGAAACTCGAACTTAATCCACGCGCAAAATGTGTATCCATTGTTGGGGAAAGCCGGTAACACAGGCATCAAAAGACCTGAGTATTCGCCATTAAGATCGAAGAAAGACGCAGGTCCGAATGAATCCCGTGCGATCATCTCGAGTGTGGACAAGTAGTAGCTCACAGCCTGATCGTCGGGCTCCTCGTGCACCATACGCATACTGCGGAACACCGCGAGCATGGCCTGGATGTCGTCGATATTAACTGAGTGATAAGCTAGGTATAAGAACACCCGCAACAGTTTCTTGAGCACTGTAAGGGGAAGACTCGGATCGGCGAACAAGCCTCGCTCACTCAGGAAGCCCAGGATCTCACGCTGCAGCCCAGCGGTGGAACAAGCCTCCACATTGCCGCAGCTGCTGCGTACGAGACTGATGAGCGCCTCCAACGCGCGAATCTGCTCGCTCTCTTCTATCACACCGATAATGTTAGTGAATAGCGTCTTGAGGCGCGATGGCCGTCGAATCTGCAGGCGTGTAGCCTCCGCCTCGCTGTATTCCTTCCCGCCCACTACCAATGCAGAGTGATGGTCAATACAAAATCAGATTGTCAACAGTTATTGTCACCGGGGGGAGACGTACGCAGCTCCCGCAGGAAGATGGAGACGACGTCCTGCGCCTCCTCGAGCTCCATGGTCACGCAGGGGGTACGAGAGGGGGAGACAGAGCTTCGGGATGTGGGAACTGATCCGCGCTGCCACGTCCACCGCACTCGCTTGAATGGCTTCCTCCCCTCTACGAAAACCCGTCGGGTCCGGGTTCCTTACAAAACTCAAGTCATTTTAAACCCGTCTCGCCTTTGCAGCTCTTTGGGATTGGCTAATAGTGAGATGGATACATTTGAAGTTTTGATGTGTCACTTGTGCTAGAAGTTCGTCATGACCATGGGTTGGGCCACCAATGTCTGGATGAGCTTGCGTAGCGCGTTGAGCTCCTTCTGCTCGATGAGTTCGAACTGCCGCACAAATAATATGAACCGCTTAAAGCAGAAGTTCAGATGCGACTCGGCGTGTAGTGCTACGTAGTTCTGCAGGTGGTTGTGATACATGTGCGCGTACACGCGGAACAGGCGCTTGAGGATGTTGCGCACCGCGCGCATGAACTTGGGGTTGGACTTTTCGCTGCCGTTGCTGTTTGTAGATGTAGAGTAGGACTCCGGGAAGAGCTTCGGGTCGTCTAGCTGTCCTTCTACCCACTCGAGCAGCCGCGCGACGTACTCCGCGGCTGGCAACGAGACTGGCGTCACTTGCTGCACGCCGTCCGCCCAAAGATACGTATAGCATGGCCCTGCCGACATTTGTGGACATGAGCTGTGTGTGCAGAACTCGGAAATCGTGCCGAACAGCAGACTAATCTCGTTGAAAAAGTCGATCACGTGGACAGAGATCCACTCGTCGAGTTGGCAACCCTCGGGCAGTTGGATGCAGTCTGCGAGATCCAAGCCACTCGCCATCGAGTCCTTGATGTAGCGGTGCAGATTCCACGTTCGCGTGCCAGATACGTGTTGCTTACGTGGGCATATGCTCTGCTCCTGATTGAGTACGTGATTGGGCATGATGCGAATAGGATCGTTTGCCTGCAACTTTATCGGAGACGCAGTTGCAGTAGGATAGCGTGGCGAGGACGGTTTGTCGCTTCGAGCAGGGTCTTCCACGTGGCTGTCGTCCGCGTTGTTGTTACTATCGTTATCGTTTTCGCTTTCACTTGAACTTTCAGCTGCCTCGGCGTCTTTGGTACGCTCTTCACCGACTTCTATCTGCAACTGCACTTGCTGCTCTTCCGCCTTCTTCTCCGTTGCAAGTTTTTGATATCCTCTCAAATGTTTCTGAAGACTTGTAACTTCAGCTTGCATCCACCGCGCTACTAGATCCTGGTGCTGAATCAACAGCTATTCACACCAACGAAACTCTATTAATCTGTGGAGCAAGACAGAGCCTATATAACGGCAGTCTGGTTACCTTTTCGATGGCTTGACTTGCGATTTCTGGTAGATCATTTGCCAGAACAGCAGCAACGTCAGCAAGTATCTCGTCATCAATCTCTTTAAATCGCGCAAAGGCGACTTGGTACTTAGCTCGGTTCTGCGAAATATACAGAAGTGTGAAAATAAGGTATTCTAACGCAGATTACTGTCTTTGGAAACTCACACGTCGAAGACGAGAAGACTCGTGGCGAGTTGTTGATTGGATTTCCTCCACCTTCCGTTCGTATCGAAGCACGACACTCTTGGCACTGTTGCGGTGGTCGCACCTCAGCTACGCAACGCATCAGTCAATCTATGATCTTACCGCCACTGCACAGTTTGAGGGCATTCGTACCTTGAGCTGCGGAATGCCAGCCAAAATTGTCTGCAGTGGTGCAATTGAACTCGTCCGAAACGTTGCAACATCCGCCAAGAGCATGCGTGCTTCGGCTGCTGTAGTTTGTTTCTCGTCTTCGCCGCCATAAAGCGTATGCACACACGATCCAAGGTCGCGACTAGAAGCGACCACCTCTAAACGAAGCAAAGTCAGGCATTGATACTACTAGGCTCAAGCGGAATGTGCGATGGCTTACCACAAATGGCTTGACAGTGACGCGATAGCTTGTTGATCGTGTCCTTCAGTCCCACTAAACGCACAAATCCATAGTCAATTATTTCGCATAACTAAAACGTTCAACATTTGCGTCGTCACCTTCAAAGCGCTCCAGACGCTCGACCATTTCGGCGAACTCGTCACCGTTGTTGCCATTTCTTTCAACTTCAGATTTATTTGCCCCAAGCCTTGTGGACGACGCGGAGTTCTGGAACGCGCCTCCGTTGCCGAAAAACTTGCGTAGCATACTTGACGTTGCTCCGTTACTACTCTTCCCACAGTCCGCGATGAAAATAAATGGCTTGATGATGTGTGTCGTAATCACGGTTTCTCCTATGCAGAGCAACACCTGAACCCAAAAATGGCTACGATAGATAACCTTGCAGTGAAAGAATAAGCTAAATCAACTCAACGGAGACCTGGATAGACGCCAACTACTTCCGCCACTTCTTACAGGAAGCCATTCAAGAGCACAGAGAGAAGAATGATCGTCACACACATTACACAGACGGCAATGCTAACGAGCGCACATGCAAGATTTAGTCGCTGGAGTCTACATTTTGTGCGTATATTACTTGTAAGCACCAAGTGGCCACAGCTACATCTACAGGCTGTAGGCTGCAGACTTCAGCTCAAAAGAGTGACCACTTCAACTCGAGTCGTACTTATACCAGGAGGTGTGCCACACAGTTTGTAACGACGGCTTGTCTATCTTGGTGATATCGATTACTCCATCGCCATGCTGCCACACCGCGTCCCTGTGGCCGCGTCCAGGCGGTTGCGCGCGCCGGCGCGCCAGAATATCATGTACTACTTGCTTTGCTTCCTAGGCGTGGTAACGGTGGTGCAGATGCTGCGGTTCCTATACGGCAAGTGTGATACGCGCGTCCACATGTCATCGCTGCTGACCAAAACGACACGTATTCTCAAACGCAACAACGTCGAGTACTGGCTGGACAAGGGCACGCTGCTGGGCGTGCACCGAGACGATGGCCTCATTCCCTGGGAATACGATGTGGACCTGGGCGTTATGAACACCACGTGCGCTGAAATCTCGGCTCTGAAAAGCGAATTCGAGACCGTTGGACTCACGGCTTATGACCGCGAAGACGACATCCCGCACAAGGTTAAACTCACATACGACACGGAGAACCACGAGTTCTACTGGTCGGACCCGAGGCTGCACGATCCGTGCATCCGTGTGTACGACACGGCGGACATTGGCACGTGGGTGGATATTTACTGGTACGTGGAATTGACGCACGAAGAGGTGGCTGCAGACCGCGAAAATATACTGGTGCCACCGGGCTACGACGAGGAAGATAGTCTCGTATGCTGCTCAGAAGGCCTGCAAGCGCATACGGAGCACATGTGCTGTGGAGGTTGTGTACCGCGCAATTCGCTCTTCCCGCTGCAACGTAAGAACGTGAACGTCCACGACGGTGTCGACCCTGTGCAGGAGCAGCCCGTGCCGGCTAAAGTAGCGCAACTCCTGTCGATTCAGTACGGTGAGAGCGCACTGACAAGCCCCGAGATCAAGGTAAGAGGACGAGGCGCATGGTCTTTGCCGTTGTTGCTGTAGTCTTGACGTTTTCTTATTCGCAGGGTTGGAAGGGTGTGGTGTGCGGCTTCTGGACCAGTCCGCTGCTATTTATGGTGCATCTGGCCCTGCTCAACGGTGTGCTGGTGGCGCTGGTGATCTACTACCGGCGCCGATGCTCCACAGGCAGCTCTAAGCGGCGAAAACTCTAGAAGACCAACGGCATTTGTACGCTTGGGGAAAGCACACCGTTGCCAGACTAGTCAAATACGCAAGTGCTGGGTTCTACGTGTGGTTGCTGCGGCGGACTACCAATGGCATGTCCTACTGTGTCGAGTTGGCTTCAGCAGGAAGCCCCGCAAATGTCGCGGACCTGGCGTCGCAGAGGATACGGTGCGTCATGCATTGCATTGCACTCCGTGGCGTCGCAGCTAGCGCTGGGTTTCCGTGCACGCAGAGCGGTACGAGGCAGTGCGGTGCAAAATTGTGTGCGGTCGTCAAAGAGTGAATGCAGTCCAAGCCACTGAGCCTGCGCCTAACTTTCTATTTTTACTTCAGTTGGTTTTGTGCGTCTTTTCGCACTCGCTTTCGTTCGCGCCATTCGATGTGCTGATCTATTTTCCGCAGGTTATGAGTGCCTAATCTTACCATTTGTAAGTTCTTGCACAATCAACCCCATCACTTTAGACGAGTATCGAGTCTGACGTCCGCGCTGTCGCTCTGTCACTGACCTCCGTCTCTGTCGCTACAAATGACAACAGCATTCATTATCCAATTTTACTCGTTGAGCACAAGCGGTCGCAGACTTAGTAAAAGCACTTGACTGGTTTGCCCGTTGTGTCCATTTTGAGAACTCGCGCACTTCCACACACACACACACACACACACACACACACACACACACACAAGCCGAAATGGACGACGAATTCCCTACGCCACCGCGGCGCCTAAATCCCAAGAGATTGCATCGCAAGGCCGACTCATCTCCCGAAGTGCTGGATCAGCAGCAGCGTCTCAAACGCGACCTCACGCGCGAGCTCATCGACTTCGACCTGATCAAAGGGTGCGTCTCTAAGCCCAGCGAAACTTCTTCTAGTGGTGCTAACTAGGTAATACTTACAGGTCGGCGCTTTTCCACACAAAACCTTCAAGCCACGACCGCAAACTTGTGCAGGAAGGATTCACCCGTGCACTGTTATTACCGTTCCATGCGAAGTTTTGGAGACAGAAGCCGTGGATTTACGAGACAGCGGCGGCTCTATACGTATTACACGGCGTGGCTGTGTGCGTCTACGTCTTCTACAACAAGAGCGCGTCGCCGCATAACACGTTCGAGGTGTTCTTCCCTATCTTCTTGTTGTTTCTAGTGGCGATTGGCTACGGTCGCGTGTCGAGCGCATTGCAAGCGCCAGATACCGACGCAGCGGTCAAGATCCTATCCCCCATTATCAAGCAGGCAGAGAACGTGTGCAGCTCCGAGTCAGACACGTCACTTGCAGCTTCGGGACTGGGGTCAGGACTCGCAGAATCCGAAAACTCGGATGGCACAGATAGCGACGAAGACAGTGGCAACTCGTCCTCGTCCAGCGACGAGTCGAATACTAACGACAACATGTTCCCACACAAAAGTAGCTCTGCTCCGACCTCACCGAAACGCGTACGTTTTGGTTGCTGCGTTGTGTTTTTCAAAGTGCAACACCGAAAAACTCACATGTTTTGGTTGATTTTTGTTGAAATAAATGCAGGTAATGCGAGCTGCTTTAAGCAAACCGCCCATGTCATTGCCACCACGCGTGCCGCTGATAAATGGAGGCTTGGACAGTGTTGTCGATCAGTTCGCTCGAAGACGCGTGACTGTATGTGTATGGGAAGATGGCTTTCCAGTGAAACGAGCCATGTCCATTTCTGAGCTGCGGAATACAATCCTTGCTAAGGTGAGAATCGACACTTTTGTGCTGTCAAGACCAACTTATCCTGAAAACTCTGTGCTTCTCGTTTTTAGGTGAAAGCAACGCCCACGCGGATGTTCTATCGCAAAGTTGCGGAAGTATCTGCGGTAATACTCGCGCTAGTGCCGATTGCATTGCGCTGCGCACTTAAATGCCAGGAGTTCGACTGTGTAGCAGTGACGCAGGACCCACTTGAAGTACTCTCATGGATATCCCACTTGTCCAAGGAGCTCTCTGCGTACCGAATGTACACGCACGCGCAAGAGCTCGCGTCTGGTGCATCACTCATTTCAATTTCCTGCATGCTGTCGACGTACTACTTGGCCTCGATCATTTTTGCTGCGCTCGCAGACGCCGAAGTCACATACCACCGCCGATTCCTGTACGTATAACAGCTTGAAGCGTGGAATACTGAATTCTAACATGTTGTTTGATTATTTATCAGATATGCCAAGTGCTTCACTGCGCTGACGTCGTCACGGCGCTCGCGTTTGGCAAAGCTTCCCCACTTCCGTCTGAAGAACGTAGTGAACATCAAGGCGTGGATCTCATTACGTGGCGGACGTACATGGCTCAAGCGTCAAGGTCGCCAACGTGCAGCAGACGAAATCGTGTCTACGTCGTTCCTTATCATCCTCGTGCTGCTCGTCGTCATGGGCATGCAAGCCGTCTCGGACGGGTCTGGTTCGCTCTCGCCTGAGAGCATCGTCCACATTGAAGTGGCTATTTGGTGCATGCTTTCCTCGTACGTTGCTTGGATTACTGTTGTGGTATTGCTTTGACGTGTGCTAACCAACATTCTGGTTGTTTATCGTTACAGTGTGTTCATGTTGCGTTTCATGATGCTGGGCTCCAACATCAACAAGAAGTACCAGAACACATCGCTGCTGCTGACTGAACAGATGAACGTTTATCTTCGTCTGCTGGCCAAGCCTCACAAAAAGGAGAAGCTTCTGGTCTCCAACAACGTGTTGAAGCTCGCGTGCAAGCTGCTAAAGGTACGTTTCTGAAACGAGCATTCCATACTGGATGCAGATGCTGACCTTTATGTCTGCAGGAGCTGAACTCGCCCAATAAGGTGTCTGGCTTGACCATGAATCCGCTGCTGTACAACATTACGCGCGTGGTGGTCTTATCGGCCTTCTCGTCTACCGCGTCCGACTTTTTCGGCTTCAAGCTGAAACTCTGGAAGCTCAAGGCCTAGACGTTGCACGATGCAGACGAGCTGGAGACCAGGAACAGCACTTGTTGGACGACAAATGAGATGGACAGGCAGGTCGGAATGGAGACACATGCAAGCGGACGACTACAGTACAGTAACTCGTGACTACAAGTGAAGGTCGAAGGCGTAAAGCTTCGTGCAAGGTGCAACATAACTTGCCTGCTTCTATACAATACACTCGAGTGTCCAAAACCACTTCAGCAACACGCCTATATCTCGTCAATTCGATTAACACTCGATAGGAGACGAACTCAGATAAGGGGCAGATAATACACGCCTCTTTCCAAGCCTTGTGAATGTTACACCGTGTAACATACGATGCACATGGTTTCCGGCTCAGAAGTGCCACATGCCTGACAGGATGTGCAGTGGGACGCTGAAGAACCGCCTCGCTCATCGGTGCGGCGTTGTTGATGCCAGAAGAAACTTGACACGGCGACGGAAGGCTAGTGGAAATTAATTGGGAAGCCAAATAAACCAGAGTGTGGGGATGATTTGTCTGAACATTCTGCTCATAAGTTACTATAGCTAGCTAGAATACGTGGGCCTTCCGTTGAGACCTGAGTAGTTTGAATCATAAGCGTCTAGAATGGGGGCGTCGGGAACTCGCGCGATGTGCGGAGTAGTAGCGACTCTAGCTTGGACGGTTTAGTAGGGCAGATGGGTGTTCGATCCACCTCGGCATCTGCGACTCCCATGACCTGTGGTTCCTCGGCGAACGACACGCGCGTGGGTGTGTGCTTGGGCTCCATAGGCGGCTTCTGGAGTGTGTCTACCATGGCGTGGTCTACTTTGAGGCGCTGGTACTTAAGCGTGAAGCGCTTCATGTATGAATCGGCGGCTAACAGGAAGGGCAGCGCTTGTTCGGGCTTGTTCTCGTGCCAGAGCTGAGCGCCGCGGTCCCGCGCGATGGACATGGCCCGCCACAGTACCGAGATGTCGCGGCTGCTGGCGTCGAAGCCACTAAGGAGCGGGAATTCGCTGACGGCAGACGGACTGGTGGGCGGCGTGGCGACGGCTTCTTGCGCCTGAATGAGCGCCATGGTCCACATCTGCTCGGCCTCCATGTGCAGCGTCTCGTGACGCTCGGTCTGCTCCAGGAGCTGCGCCATGCGGTTGCGCGCTAGCTCCAGGAAGCGCACGCACGTGTGCTGTTCGTAGACGCCCATTTCTTTCAAAATAGCTAGCTCCTTGGCGATAGAGAAGAGGTTGCGCTCCATGACGACGCTGTTCATGTCCGAGGCCCAGGCTTCCACGAGAATCATCTTGAGCTTGAGCTGCAGCGAAAGTCCCATGAGGCTGCGGCGCAGTAGCTCCTCGCTCTCCTTGACGGCGGCGCGCACGGGGCTGGACGCCATCGCGCGCGGCGACATGCTGAGCGGCATGGCCAGAATCTTGCTCGAGTCCACGGGTTCGATGCTGCGACGCCGCTTCTTGCTGGCGGTCGTGGTCGTGTCAGTGAGCGGCAGCACGGTCATCATGTTACGGAGTCGGGAGAGGGTTTATACTACGGGCAGAACGCCCAGGGACTCCTGTTAGCTAAAATGTAGTAGCGACGAGCTCGACCTTTTAGAAAATGAGGCAAACCACAGCAGCCGACTGTGGATTTTCCGGACCAGCCAGTCATAGAGACAGCCAGTGTAAGCAGCAAAGGTAACGGCCAAAGCCGAGCCACTGCCTTGATACCGCCCACTGTCACTGGTGGATTCAGAGAGCAGGTTTGGGGCGCACGCTTACGGAGTTTCCGGCTCCTTTGCTCAGTACACTCGCTGGCAACAGGTCAGCGCGACTGTCGCGCCGCAGACCCGTCCGGTGTCCCAAGGCAAAAAGCACTGGACAGAGTGCTCATGAAGTCGACCTGCGCGCGGGTTGGTACTGCACACGCAAGCGGGCCTTTTTGGACATAAAGCCTCTCCGGGCTTTCTGTCCATCGGCGTAAACCCGCGACTATCCGATACAGTAGGAAGCGGCCGCGCAGAATCAAGCTGCGTTGTGATTCCTGCTAGCATTCAGCGGATTTATCACAAGTCGCTGATATAATATTTTGGTGGTTGATGTGTATTGCATGTCCAGAATGTTATGAGTTGCGGATTCAGAACCCGCAAATACTGACTGACCGGAAATAGCAGGTAAATTATTTATGGGGTCAGTCCCTACAACATGCAGAGTAGGATAGCAGTGGCATGTGGGACCATTTTGGATGGGCCCGTGATTGACGTTGGCAACCACACTGACATCGACAGCTCCATAGACTCGCTCGATGCTGCCAGAAACATGGCATACGCCGTGTGCTTTGGGCATTTTCTCATGGGGTGACGCCAAATGTCGACGATCCTATCAAGCCAGCAGTCCGAGCAGCAGGTTGATTGCATGTTTAAGCTGGTGCTCTCTGCAAACCTAGCTGACTTCTACGTAGGGGTCTGAAGGCTTCAGCTTTGAATCTTCCACTTGCCTCGTGGTGCTGGGCAAAATATTACCTGTATCACGACGCTCCTCGATTTGAAGTGGACTTTTACCCAGTCGGCAAGCCTCTTCAACCAGCAACGCTTGATTCAAGAAAATCGAGCTGTGGGATGACGAGCACGATGAAAGATGTAAATGTAGCATCAAGGTGGTCGACCGGAGCCATCTTCACGACGATATCAGATCTTTTCGTCGCCAAGTTGCATTGCGCAACATCGACACGGCCGTGTTGGATGAAAACGCCGGACTCCGGCCGGAGCGTTCTGGTGCGTAAGCTGACATCAACAATTCTACATGTACGAAATACAGAGCCACTGCAGGTAAATCAGCCGGCCGTACAGCAATGGCAGTGAACGGATCGGCATCAAGGAGGCGCGTTAGCTGACAAGCTGCATTGGACCAACCATCGAGGCAACCAGATTCGGAGCCAGACACAGTGTGAGGCACACCGGATGTGTCTGAGCCGGGATCCACAGAGACGGCATCACACTGAATGACTCGACTGGCTCGCCTTCGGCGTAAATCAACACGGTCAAAGATCGGGCGAACTCCCGCCAACTTTTGGCTGGCAAGTGACCGCGCGACTCGACTCGAATCCGGTTGCACTTTTTCTATCGTACAGCTCCAGATTCCTTTCTGGAACTTCCAGACTGGAAAGCACCGCCGAATCTCCTACGGACACATCGCTTCTGAATCACCGTGAGCTATTATGCGTCTCCTCGGCGGTGGGCCACAGCGCGGCACTTGCGCAATGCAAATGGCTCATGGTGCTCTCCGGCATTGCTGTCGCCGTAGTCCGGCTTTCAGCGACGCCCATCGAGCCCCGTTATCCTGAAGTGGCTACGTAAGTGATTAAAATTTACCGTACGTATCGAAATACGTTCGGGCGAACGCACTGTGCACTCAGTGCACTGCACTGTACGTTGAAGCGCGCGAAGAATGACTGCGGTTCTGACTGGATGGCTTCGTTCCTAGCGATATCATGTCCAGCGAAGATTGCTTGAGGCCGCCCACAAGGGACTTGAGCACAGTTGCTGCCGCCACCGAGCTCTTCATCGGGAGGAGCCCCACTCCCGCAAGCGTAGCGTATGGGGCTGCTTTCCAGCAAACCCTACCCAGCCACCGACATGGGCACGAATGAACCGAAGCGCGGTTTCATTTGGGCTCGAGTTTTACGGATAGAGCAAAGAGAGAGAGAGAACTGAGTGTGCAGGGTTCAATCAACGGTAGTCCAGTCGGCCCCTTTGGTTGGGTTAGTTACCCTTCGGTGGTGCCATGTGTGAGAGTTTTTTGTGCTGCCGACATCTTTGAGGTGGCCGGCAGTAGCTGAATTCAAATACCTGGTACTTGGTACTTCTTGATTTAAGAATATGGATGAAGACTGGTTATCGTAATGAAACAAGGCGGGTCATATTCGCTTCCGCGCTGGGTCACGAATTTGAGCGGATAGCGCGCAGGTTGACCAACGCTACTGCACAGTTGAATAGGAGTTTGCTATTGCATTCCAGCTTACTGTTCAATGTGCGGGCCTTACAGCATTAGGATAAACATCAGGTCATTCGCATTTGAATCGAATACTAATGAAGTAGTACTTCTTAACCGAGGAATCTTCAATATGAAATTTTCATACTTTTGCTGGAACTCGATCATCACAGCTAACTGCTATTGAAATAGTTTATCCATCATAATACATATAATGCCCCCCATACCGGTCTCAAGTCGCATACATTCGGGCAAATGCAAACAGAAACCGAGTCGACTCTGTCTAAGGTCAGATTTCACGCAGCTTTTTTTTAGGACAACGTTCGTGTTGTGGAAGTTCAACAACGATACACGATTGAAAATGCTTTTCTGTTAATTTCTGTATCCCCCTTAAACTACTGCCGACCACCTCAAAGGTCGGCAGCACAAAAAACTCTCACACATGGCACCACCGAAGGGTAACTAACCCAACCAAAGGGGCCGACTGGACTACCGTTGATTGAACCCTGCACACTCAGTTCTCTCTCTCTCTTTGCTCTATCCGTAAAACTCGAGCCCAAATGAAACCGCGCTTCGGTTCATTCGTGCCCATGTCGGTGGCTGGGTAGGGTTTGCTGGAAAGCAGCCCCATACGCTACGCTTGCGGGAGTGGGGCTCCTCCCGATGAAGAGCTCGGTGGCGGCAGCAACTGTGCTCAAGTCCCTTGTGGGCGGCCTCAAGCAATCTTCGCTGGACATGATATCGCTAGGAACGAAGCCATCCAGTCAGAACCGCAGTCATTCTTCGCGCGCTTCAACGTACAGTGCAGTGCACTGAGTGCACAGTGCGTTCGCCCGAACGTATTTCGATACGTACGGTAAATTTTAATCACTTACGTAGCCACTTCAGGATAACGGGGCTCGATGGGCGTCGCTGAAAGCCGGACTACGGCGACAGCAATGCCGGAGAGCACCATGAGCCATTTGCATTGCGCAAGTGCCGCGCTGTGGCCCACCGCCGAGGAGACGCATAATAGCTCACGGTGATTCAGAAGCGATGTGTCCGTAGGAGATTCGGCGGTGCTTTCCAGTCTGGAAGTTCCAGAAAGGAATCTGGAGCTGTACGATAGAAAAAGTGCAACCGGATTCGAGTCGAGTCGCGCGGTCACTTGCCAGCCAAAAGTTGGCGGGAGTTCGCCCGATCTTTGACCGTGTTGATTTACGCCGAAGGCGAGCCAGTCGAGTCATTCAGTGTGATGCTGTCTCTGTGGATCCCGGCTCAGACACATCCGGTGTGCCGCACACTGTGTCTGGCTCCGAATCTGGTTGCCTCGATGGTTGGTCCAATGCAGCTCGTGAGCACTTGCTACATCTTGCTAGTCATCTCACGGCGCGATTTCTTGACATGGTGAATCAATTGTTGTTGTTGTACATGTATTGTACATGTACCATCGTCGTTGGTCCATCACCGTTGCACACTTCAACTTGTGCGTTGAAGGTCCCAAAATGGCTACAGCACCATGCAGCAAAAATATCGCTCTCCGTTGCAGAAGTGTTCTGGTCCAAGCAAACCGGAAAAAGCGAAGCTGAACAGCACTGAGTGAAGATAAGAGCATCATGCTGGAGAAGAACGCGACCGTCATGAATCCCGAGGATGTAGAGTGCTCCGGGGTCAAGAGTGACGCGAGCCCCGAGACCCTGGCGCCACCTCGCCCCGATGAAGTGGAACCTAAAGCAGAAAAAAGGAATTCTAAGACTTTGGCGGTAGCATTCCTCTTATCGCCCGTCGATCGCTACGGATTCCTGGTCACAGATAAGTCAGTGCTGCTCGTAATAAAGCACCGACAGAACAGTGTTTAAAATGTCTTGCTCTTGTTGCAGGCGCTACAACGGAGGCCATGCTACATCCACCACATACAAACACGCAGTGTGGCTCGAGAACCGCCGCACGCAGAAGTGGGTCAAGATGATTGGGAAACAACTTGAGGACTGGGAGGTCTGTCAGCTACGGAACGCTGCCACACTCAAGAAGCGTATTCGCAAGGGCATTCCTGAGGCCCTGCGCGGCCGTGTGTGGAGTCACCTTGCTGGGTCCTCGCAAATGCTGCTGAATAACCCAGGCGCTTACCACCAACTATTACAGACTACTCAAGTTCCTTGTGAAGAGACGATCGCGCGCGATATCGGACGCACGTTCCCCAAACACTCACTATTCCGGGACCGCTCCTCGCTGGGTCAATGCGCTCTCATGAACGTCCTCAAAGCATACTCGCTGCACGATCCCGAAGTGGGCTATTGCCAAGGCATGGGCTTTCTAACGGCCATGTTCCTCTGCTACATGCCGGAGCAACAGGCTTTCTGGCTGCTTGTGGCATGCCTGAACCACAAGCGTTATGGGCTCGCAGACTTGTACCGTCCACGCATGCCGAAGGTACCCGAGGTGACTTTTATCTTTGAGGGGCTCTTCAAGCAGCTCATGCCACAACTTTCAGCTCATCTCGAGAATGAAGGTTTGCACCCGACCATGTATCTCACGCAGTGGTTCCTCACACTGTTCACGTATAATTTCCCTTTCGAGTTTGTCACTCGAGTCTGGGATGCCTTCCTACACGAGGGGTGGAAGGTCATCTATCGCGTTGCACTAGCACTTATGAAGATCTCGCAGAGTACGTCCGGGCGTATCTTGACGTAACTGACGACGCTAACCTGACGTTTGATGTGGAATGCTGTGAGTAGAGACCCTTTTGAGCGCCAAGTTTGAAACTATTATGGACTACTTCCGCGATTTACCCAACAAGGTGTGCACACTTGGAGCTCTTGAAGGCTGTCATTGTGCTGATAATGCTTTGATGCGTTCAGGTGGAAACCGACGAAGTACTAGCGACGGCATTTCGGATGCCGATAAGGCGAGCTCAGATCGCACATTTGCTCGAGGAGTACCACACTTCAACCGCTGCTTCTTGATATCTTCGGTGACGTTCGATATTTTTCATGTAATTTATGAAGCGCGAACTAATAATTGAATGAAAAGAAAAATCACAAGGCACATTTCAAATAAGATTATCTACAGCGACTTCGCTTGATAAAGGAGACAAGTCTCCAGAAAAAAAAATATCCTGCGGACTCGCTGAGTATATGAAATACATCACATCTAGTCACCTAGTCTTGCTTGATCGGCGCCGTCGCCACGGGTGCAGAGCTCGTGGCGAAATGCTTCTTGAGTCGGGGCAGCACGAGACCTCCCACAGCTGCCACAACGATAAGCTGCACTGTGGTGGCTGTGTCGATGATATCTCCGCGTGACCGAAGCTCACGTAAGATGAGGCCAGCCTTGCAGCTCAGGAAATTGTACGGGATGAGACCAATGAGCGGACCCAGCGTGAACTGGCCCAGCGGGATGTCCAGATGCGGCGACGCCATGTTGATGAACCAGTTGGGTGTGAATGGGAACACACGCAAGAAGATCATGTACAACGCCATCTCGTCGCGGTGCGCGTCGAGCATACCGCGTAAAGTGTCGAGTTTGCGCGGAAAGAAGCGAGTGACCACGCGGCGGCCGAAGCGACGCGACAGTAGGAACATGAAGACGGAACCCAGCGTGTTGTAAACCAAGCAAAGCGGAAAGCCCAGCGTCACGCCGAACAGCGCACCACCAAGCAGGTTGAAGAACACGGTGCCCGGGATGGCGAAAGTCTGCAGGTACAGGTAGCAGCCCATGTGTGCAAGCAGCAGTGAGCCTGACTGGCGCTCCGAGAAGCTCTGCAGCGTCTCACCTAGCTGCTGCGCAGCCTCCAGCGACGTCGGCAGTCGCAGAGCTCCCCACTCCGCGTCTGTGAGCGCCGAGATCACCAGAGTGTGCAGCGTTATGCCAAGCAGCGCCGTGCTGACAAGGAAGATGACGCCAACGAGATGCATGTCGCGGCGCCAACCCTGAGACGGCTCCGAAACGGACATTGACGGCTTGTCAGCATCGCTGGCGATCGCCTTAGCGTCCGCAGCGGTGGCGAACGGGGACGAGGACTCCGGAGCGTGCGGAGCCATGGCTACAACTTGGAGAAGAAGGCCTTCGTCCTCAGACGCCAGTTTTGAGAGTGAGAATGCTATTTATTGACCTACCCTTTCAGTAACCCTATAAGTACTACCACCATTTTCTTTCGATTCCCACAATAAGAGAAAGAAATAATACCCTGGGTACCGATAATACTTGTAGAGCTTCAGTCCTTCTCCGTTTCATCAGAACTTTTACATCATGATTTAGCATCATGTCATTGTTAAACGTGATTGATGTGCTTCGATCATACCGATATAAGTGAATTGCAGGGAAGTTGTTGGCACATTTATATGAATGCTTTGTAGTACTGGCTAAAACGAAATATATTAAAACAAAATAAGAGTACTATCACCTTTTAGGGTGGTAGTACTTCGTGAAAGGCCACAAAACTTGGCATAAGTCAAGTTAACGTTTCAAAAAGGTTAGTGCAGTTTTTAAAATATTTTGTGGAATTTCACATTAAATTACTCGCGTTAAACCAACGGCTCAGGGCAAGCAATCGCTGAAGTCATGGCCTTCGCTACAGCAT